TCCACATTAGAGAGCAATTCCTTAAAAGGGTTATAACAGCATGATCCTCTTCACATAGGCAAAACAAGCCATGTTATAATATGTTTGGGTCTCTGACAATGTTCCCTCTAATTTTTTCCACCATGTGTGGAATAAACGTGCAGATGCGCGCTATCAGTAGAAACAAAAAACCTAGCTATAATCTACATATTTTTTAAAAGCTACCATAGGGATAATTACTCCAGCCAGGACAGGTTAAGCATTTTAGAACTCACTCCTCAAAGAATTAAATTTAAGTGTAAGAGAAATAAAAATTATGAAATGCATAGGTCAAAAACTAAAATAACACACTTTGAAAGAATAAAATTACAGAGAATATATGTGCATTGCAGGAAGTACCAAAAAGTAACAACAACAATACAAGTATATGTTGGGAGGTGAGAGAGAACGACTGTCTGCACGCTGGCTGCTGGGGAACTTTCTGAAAGATGCTGTGCGCTCTTTAAGGCACTCACTGAAACCTCTCCAGCTCCTGACTGAGCCCTGTCCCCCCTTCCCCGCTCTGCAGAGATGGGGTACATGGGCGGGGGGGAGGGAGGCAGAAAGAGAGAGACACACACACACACACACAGAGTGAGAGCTGGTTGGTGGGGAAGTTTGAGAGACCATGCACCGTCTCTAAGGAACTCCCTCACTGCCCGGAGGCTCATTCAGACCTCAGCAGCTCTCTCCTGCTCCAAATCCTGAGCCCTGTCCCCTCTCCCCTGCTCTGTGGGGATGAGGTATGGGGCAGGAGGAGGGGGATGCCCTGATATCAGAACCCCCCTCCCCTCCCGCTCTGCACAGCCAGTAGGAGGGTCCAAGGAGCAGCTGCAGGAGCAATGTGGCTGCAAAGCACCAGGGTGGGAGGGGCACCTGAACAAATGCTGCCAGATGTGCGCAGCTCTGCTAATCAAGTGTGTGGCACTTGAATCACTCCTGAGCAGCCACGTAGCTTAGAGGGAACACAGGTCTCTGATATGTTGAGTACTTTAAAAAGTAGTAAAATTTGAAATGTTGACAAGGCTTATGTTTGAAGCAGTAAACTTCACCCCACCTCAGCCAACTGGAATTAAAACTTGTGTAAGATTTCAAAAGGCATGTGTTCCACTGTATAAGAACAAGGAAACTAGAATGAGAAGTCTATTTGTAAGATTATATGATATACTTGACTTTAGTAAGCACCCTTATAGTCTTAAGAAAGCCAGAGATTTTATTTTATTAAAATGTGAGGCAGTATGGACTAGTTGACTGTCCGTGGGGAAGGGTCCAAAAATCCTTTCCTCCCCATACACACTTGAGTTCTAAACCCAGCTCTACCACCATAAAATGAGAATAATATTTGCCCACCTTTCTCACATAGATGCTGTATGGTTTATGGAGTTAATATCTGCCAGTAGGTACCAAAAAATCTGAACTAACTTCTTAACACTCCATATAACACAGTTAATATGCTAAAGGCAAGAAAGGAATGAAAGTACATAAAACCATTACTTACAAAAGAGATAGATCCTGATCCTACAAATTGCTCTGCATAGATAGATCTGTAAGCCTATGCAGAGTACCGCTGAGATCAACAGAACTCCATGCAAGAGCATGGCCCTGCTCACACAGAGCATTGTCCAGGATCAGGGCAGTAGTTAGGATAATATTGCTCCATTCCACGCTATAACTGTGTCTGAACATATTCAGATGGAAGTGCAGCCTGTTTTAACAGTACAAAGTACCAATATCGCATCAGAATCCACTATGGGACAATGCTAGCAGATCTCAATCCAAATTCAGGGCTCAGTATCTTACTTTTCAAATGTTTACATATTAGAGACCAATCCTACAAATAATTAACCATACGAATGAATAAATGTTCACAAGAGTACGCCCATTATATACGTATATAGTTAAAAGCCAAAAGAAATTTTAAATCAGAAGGCTAAAATAAATACATAATGCCTTCTAGTTTCAGATGTTATGCATAAATTTTACCTTGGAACACACTGTTGATAAGATGTGAATGTTATTAAAAAGGTTAATAAATAAGGTACCCTCTGAACAATGAATAACTTTCCATAGATCTTGGTTTTACTCTTACCAGCCATGAATTTAAAACAAAACAAAAAACAAAACAAGAAGTAGCACATTTTTCCTACTTTGCTCTTAAGATTTTTGAAAATTAGAAACTATAATCATGCTTACGTGATTTAAGTAGTTCTGACACTGAATTGATTTTTGGAGTGTTTTTTGACATTCTCCAAGTGACTGAATACATGTCTCTGAAATAAAGAAAAGCATTAGTAATGCGATTTTACTTTTTTTTTTTTAATTGTTGTTGTTACCGGTTAAGTTTTAGACTCCTTGGACCAGATTCTGACATAAAGTACATTAATGTAAAGCTGTATTGATTCTACTGATCTCTGTTGCCATTATGCATTGTTTGCTTAGTAACAAACCCATATTAGCACTGTACAAGACATACAGGGCTTGTTTACACTGAAAAGTTACATCATGGTGGAACGCAACTGTATGTATTCAGGTAAAGGATAAGACTGTTGCATTTAACATAGCCTCTGTGTAGGCAAGGGCTCACATGACAAAGCTATGTGTTACTTACCCCAGCTCCTCATGGTTGCATTCCTACTGCAATGTAACTTCCCAGGGCAGAACATGGCAAACTTGGCAACTCAGAACATGGCAAACTTCTTCCAGATTTACAACAATGTAACTAAGATCAGAATCTGGCATCTTGCTCTAGATACAGAAAGTGATTCCAAGGGCCCTGACTGACTAAAACAGAAAAACAGACACACAGATTCCAGCCAGACACCTGTAAATATGATAATCTCAAACATCTCAGACCTTTTGGCAATTCAAAGGGGGCACTGCAGGTATTACACTTGTAAGGACTAATGAACAAAAGTGGTACAGATTCTGGCCGTACAAACAGCAAAGATGATAGATTTTGAATTCTAAAGCACCACCTGATTTAAATTGCTCATTGTGGAATTGGCATTTAGGACAGACCTCATGGTTATGCTATTATTTAATTTTTTTTTTTGTTTTACAGTAGTACCTAAAGACCCCAAGCATTTGCAAGGCTCCATTGTGCGAGGCACTATACATACACATAGCAAGAGACAATCCCCACCTCAAGGAGCTTACAATCTAAATAGACAAAAGGTGGGAGGAAGTATTATTACTTATTTTATAGATTTGGAACCGAGATACAGAAAGATCAAGGTCACACAGGCAGGCTGTATTTTCCACTGAATGCATCCGATGAAGTGAGCTGTAGCTCACGAAAGCTCATGCTCAAATAAATTGGTTAGTCTCTAAGGTGCCACAAGTACTCCTTTTCTTTTTGTGAACCAGACTAACATGGCTGCTACTCTGAAACAGGCAGGCTGTGGCAGAGTTTGGGTAAGCCTAAATTCTTCAGACTTTGGGTGCCCAATTTGAAACATTTTGAGGTGCCTGATTTTCTGCTGAGCACCCACCTTCTGAAAATCAGACTTCTTTAAAGAGGCCTCAGATTGGGCACCCAAAATCATCAGTCACTTCAAACTACAGGCATAAACCTAGATTTCCTGAGTCCAAATGTAGTGCCTTAAAACCAAGGCTATCCCACCTCTGCTAGTTTCTAACACAGGTGCTTAAAACCATTGTTCATACCAGCGCTGATGCAGGATTTGGCTTTGCAACACTGGTGATTCCAGGTTTCCCATGCAGACTTAATTAGTCAGCATGGCCATCTTCTATACCTATTCAATTGCATGAACTATAAATTGCAACTGCATTTGGACTGCTCCCAAAAGACACTTCCCAAGCCTAGAGACTGTATCCGAGTTACAGCAATACCAGACTGGGGTACAGAGGAGTCAGGTTGAGCACCACAGTAGAGTTTGAGCATCATGAAAATGTGATATGCCCTTACTCAAAAGACAGACTTCTGCATGGTTCAGTAGTAGCCCCTGAGGGGGGTCACTATAGGGAGGAAAGAGGCAGGCTCTGACCACCACCAGCCAGCACTGCAGACCCAGATTTTGTAATACAAAACCAGAGCCGCACCGGGTAGGTCTACACTGCTCAGGTTTGGGCCCTCTTCCATCCACACACAAGTCAGTCTGATGAGGGTCAGTGAGCACTCAGGCCCAGGGTTCCTAGACCTGCACGGGGGCGTGTGTGTGTGTGTGACTCCGGTTCAAGCTCTGTTATTTTGCATCACGGGCACAGCTCATGCCACATACATACCCCAGCCAGTCGGGCCCCTAGTGCCGTGTGGAGCCGTTAGCACGGCTGAGAGACCTGGGGCCAGAGCCAGTCAGTCAGGGTTACAATGCAGTGCGTGCGGACGCTCAAGCCGGGGCTTGGAAACCTGAGGCCCCAAGGCCAAGTCCCAAAGGCCGGGTCTCCAGCGTGGGCACCGGGCAGCCGGAGTCCGGGACTCAGCCATGGCGGGGGCTGATGAAACGAAAGCAGGGCTGGGGTGGCCAGCAGCTCGCGATGACCCCCTCCCCCGACCAACTGGGGCGGCCTCCCTTACCCAGAGCCCGGTTGGCCGAATCCAGCCTCCGCAGCACAGAGCGCAGCTCGCTCGCCTTCAGATTCCCCGCCATGGCCCCACAATTCCCGCTCAAGGCACGTTGGGAACCGCCATCTTGTTGTACGGAACCGGCAGCGGCGTTTCAAGCGGCCGCCCCCTTGCTGCGCGAAACCTGCTTGTGATCACGAGAGCGCCGCCATCGTGTTGTACGGACTCCCAGAAGGACCCGCCCTACGGAAGCCCATTCAGTTCAGTAAAGCCCACGCTATGCTCTGCTCCGCCGGCGACGGTGCCCCGGACACGCGCGATTGCTCCGCGCGCGGGTGGATGGGGATGGGGCTGGGGCGGTGATGGGAGCAGCGCGGGCCCGCCTCCGGCAGCGGCTCACCCCGCGGGCCGGGGCGGGGCTGAGAGGGAGAGAGCCCGGAGCTGCTGGGAGGTAAGGGGCGGCGGGGGGCACCGTTCGCGTCGCCGGGCGGTGCCAGCTGGTGGCAAGGGGTCCGCAGGCCCCGCCCCGCCTGTGGTGAGCCCCCGGGGGGTGGGAGCTCTGTGTCCGTCCGTCCCACATCGCTGTGACTTGTGCGCCCTGCTACCGATGGGGGAGCGGGGGCGGCTCAGGGCGCTTTGCAAACCGCGCTCCCACGGCCGGGGCGGGGGGCACTGGCAGCCCGCGGCTCAGGGCGCGCCTCCCCGTCGCTGTGAGGCCGCTCCCTCGGCAGGCGGCGGGGCCTGGCTGTGAGAGCCGGTCTGCCCCGGCCTACTGCCGACTCCCCGCCGCGGGGAAGCCGTCGGGGCCTGTCGCCGGCAGAGCGGGCCTAGCCGGTAGGGCGGGTCTCGAGCGCCTGTCTCAGGCCCCGGCAGACTGAGTCCCGCAGCAGAGCGTATCTCCTCCGCTTGTCTCGCCGCTCCCCAGCGGGTCAGCACGGCCAGGCGGCGGCCCTGCCCCTGTCCGGTCTCCCCGGCAGCGAGCCGCCCCTGCCGGCTCAGTGAAAGCCGCCGCAAGGGGCAGCGTTAGCTCTGCCCGCGGGAGCGCGTCTCCTGCCCACCTAGCGCTGTCGGCACCGGCACGTCGGTGGCTCAGGGGCTGCTCTCTGCACCCCCCGGACTGGCAAACGTTTGACCGACAGAAGGAGCGAGTGGAGACCAAGCCAAGGGGAAAAGTCGGTCTAAGCTAGGCAATATGAGTTACGTGAAGAGCGTATCCACCTCGCTTAGATCTCCTGACTGCAGGGTGGATGGGAGATGCTCTCCTGCCCACTCTTCTGGGTCCGGTCGAGTGGAGGGGAGAGCGATCAGCAGCTGACTTAGCAGATCTTCACTCGCCCCACTAAATCGACCTCCGAGGCACCGATCGCCTCCAGTAAGGGTATGTCTACACTACGGAATAAGGTCGAATTTATAGAAGTCGGTTTTTTAGAAATCGGTTTTATATATTCGAGTGTGTGTGTGTCCCCACAGAAAATGCTCTAAGTGCATTAACTCGGCGGAGCGCTTCCACAGTACCGAGGCTAGAGTCGACTTCCGGAGCGTTGCACTGTGGGTAGCTATCCCACAGTTCCCGCAGTCTCCGCTGCCCATTGGAATTCTGGGTTGAGATCCCAATCCCTGATGGGGCTAAAACATTGTCGCGGGTGGTTCTGGGTACATATCGTCAGGCCCCCGTTCCCTCCCTCCCTCCGTGAAAGCAAGGGCAGACAATCATTTCGCGCCTTTTTTCCTGAGTTACCTGTGCAGACGCCATACCCCGGCAAGCATGGAGCCCGCTCAGGTAACCGTCACCCTATGTCTCCTGGGTGCTGGCAGACGCGGTACGGCATTGCTACACAGTAGCAGCAACCCCTTGCCTTGTGGCAGCAGACGGTACAGTACGACTGGTAGCCGTCATCGTCATGTCCGAGGTGCTCCTGGCCACGTCGGCTGGGAGCGCCTGGGCAGACATGGGCGCAGGGACTAAATTTGGAGTGACTTCAACAGGTCATTCTCTTTAGTCCTGCAGTCAGTCCTATTGAACCGTCTTATGGTGAGCGGGCAGGCGATACGGACTGCTAGCAGTCGTACTGTACCATCTTCTGCCAGGCAGGCAAGAGATGAGGATTGCTAGTAGTCGTACTGTACCATCTTCTGCCGAGCAGCCATGAGATGTGGATGGCATGCAGTCCTTCTGCACCGTCTGCTGCCAGCCAAAGATGTAAAAGATAGATGGAGTGGGTCAAAACAAGAAATAGACCAGATTTGTTTTGTACTCATTTGCCTCCTCCCCTGTCTAGGGGACTCATTCCTCTAGGTCACACTGCAGTCACTCACAGAGAAGGTGCAGCGAGGTAAATCTAGCCATGTATCAATCAGAGGCCAGCCTAACCTCCTTGTTCCAATAAGAACGATAACTTAGGTGCACCATTTCTTATTCGAACCCTCCGTGAAGTTCTGCCTGAAATACTCCTTGATGTAAAGACACCCCCTTTGTTGATTTTAGCTCCCTGAAGCCAACCCTGTAAGCCGTGTCGTCAGTCGCCCCTCCCTCCGTCAGAGCAACGGCAGACAATCGTTCCGCGCCTTTTTTCTGTGCGGACGCCATACCAAGGCAAGCATGGAGGCCGCTCAGCTCACTTTGGCAATTAGGAGCACATTAAACACCACACGCATTATCCAGCAGTATATGCAGCACCAGAATCTGACAAAGCGAAACCGGGCGAGGAGGCGACGTCAGCGCGGTCACATGAGTGATCAGGACATGGACACAGATTTCTCTGAAAGCATGGGCCCTGCCAATGCATGCATCATGGTGCTAATGGGGCAGGTTCATGCTGTGGAACGCCGATTCTGGGCTCGGGAAACAAGCACAGACTGGTGGGACCGCATAGTGTTGCAGGTCTGGGACGATTCCCAGTGGCTGCGAAACTTTCGCATGCGTAAGGGCACTTTCATGGAACTTTGTGACTTGCTTTCCCCTGCCCTGAGGCGCATGAATACCAAGATGAGAGCAGCCCTCACAGTTGAGAAGCGAGTGGCGATAGCCCTGTGGAAGCTTGCAACGCCAGACAGCTACTGGTCAGTTGGGAATCAATTTGGAGTGGGCAAATCTACTGTGGGGGCTGCTGTGATGCAAGTAGCCCACGCAATCAAAGATCTGCTGATATCAAGAGTAGTGACCCTGGGAAATGTGCAGGTCATAGTGGATGGCTTTGCTGCAATGGGATTCCCTAACTGTGGTGGGGCTATAGACGGAACCCATATCCCTATCTTGGCACCGGAGCACCAAGCCGCCGAGTACATAAACCGCAAGGGGTATTTTTCGATAGTGCTGCAAGCTCTGGTGGATCGCAGGGGACGTTTCACCAACATCAACGTGGGATGGCCGGGAAAGGTGCATGATGCTCGCATCTTCAGGAACTCTGGTCTGTTTCAAAAGCTGCAGGAAGGGACTTTATTCCCAGACCAGAAAATAACTGTTGGGGATGTTGAAATGCCTATATGTATCCTTGGGGACCCAGCCTACCCCTTAATGCCATGGCTCATGAAGCCGTACACAGGCAGCCTGGACAGTAGTCAGGAGCTGTTCAACTACAGGCTGAGCAAGTGCAGAATGGTGGTAGAATGTGCATTTGGACGTTTAAAGGCGCGCTGGCGCAGTTTACTGACTCGCTTAGACCTCAGCGAAACCAATATTCCCACTGTTATTACTGCTTGCTGTGTGCTCCACAATATCTGTGAGAGTAAGGGGGAGACGTTTATGGCGGGGTAGGAGGTTGAGGCAAATCGCCTGGCTGCTGGTTACGCGCAGCCAGACACCAGGGCGGTTAGAAGAGCACAGGAGGGCGCGGTACGCACCAGAGAAGCTTTGAAAACCAGTTTCATGACTGGCCAGGCTACGGTGTGAAAGTTCTGTTTGTTTCTCCTTGATGAAACCCCCGCCCCTTGGTTCACTCTACTTCCCTGTAAGCTAACCACCCGCCCCTCCTCCTTTCAATCGCCGCTTGCAGAGGCAATAAAGTAGTTGTTGCTTCACATTCATGCATTCTTTATTCATTCATCACACAAATAGGGGGATGACTACCAAGGTAGCCCAGGAGGGGTGGTGGAGGAGGGAAGGAAAATGCCACACAGCACTTTAAGCACAGCACTTTAAAAGTTTACAACTTTAAAATTTATTGAATGACAGCCTTCTTTTTTTTGGGCAATCCTCTGTGGTGGAGTGGCTGGTTGGCCGGAGGCCCCCCCACCGCGTTCTTGGGCGTCTGGGTGTGGAGGCTATGGAACTTGGGGAGGAGGGCGGTTGGTTACAGAGGGGCTGCATGGCAGTCTGTGCTCCAGCTGCCTTTGCTGCAGCTCAACCATACACTGGAGCATACTGGTTTGGTCCTCCAGCAGCCTCAGCACTGAATCTTGCCTCCTCTCATCACGCTGCCGCCACATTTGAGCTTCAGCCCTGTCTTCAGCCCGCCACTTACTCTCTTCAGCCCGCCACCTCTCCTCCCGGTCATTTTGTGCTTTCCTGCACTCTGACATTATTTGCCTCCACGCATTCGCCTGTGCTCTGTCAGTGTGGGAAGACAGCATGAGCTCGGAGAACATTTCATCGCGAGTGCGTTTTTTTTTCTTTCTAAGCTTCACTAGCCTCTGGGAAGGAGAAGATCCTGTGATCATTGAAACACATGCAGCTGGTGGAGAAAAAAAAAGGGACAGCGGTATTTAAAAAGACACATTTTATAAAACAGTGGCTACACTCTTTCAGGGTAAACCTTGCTGTTAACATTACATACATAGCACATGTGCTTTCGTTACAAGGTCGCATTTTGCCTCCTCCCACCGCGTGACTACCCCCTCAACCTTCCCCCCTCCCTGTGGCTAACAGCGGGGAACATTTCTGTTTAGCCACAGGCAAACAGCCCAGCAGGAATGGGCTCCTCTGAGTGTCGCCTGAAGAAAAGCACTCTATTTCAACCAGGTGACCATGAATTATATCTCACTCTCCTGAGGATAACACAGAGAGATAAAGAACGGATGTTGTTTGAATGCCAGCAAACATACACTGCAATGCTTTGTTCTACAATGATTCCCGAGTACGTGTTACTGGCCTGGAGTGGTAAAGTGTCCTACCATGAAGGACGCAATAAGGCTGCCCTCCCCAGAAACCTTTTGCAAAGGCTTTAGGACTACATCTAGGAGAACCGCAAATGCCAGGGCAAAGTAATCCTTTCACATGCTTGCTTTTAAACCATGTATAGTATTTTAAAAGGTACACTCACCAGAGGTCCCTTCTCCGCCTGCTGGGTCCAGGAGGCAGCCTTGGGTGGGTTCGGGGGGTACTGGCTCCTGGTCTAGGGTGAGAAACAGTTCCTGGCTGTCGGGAAAACCGGTTTTTCCGCTTGCTTGCTGTGAGCTATCTACAACCTCCTCCTCATCATCATCTTCTTCGTCCCCAAAACCTGCTTCTGTATTGCCTCCATCTCCATTGAAGGAGTCAAACAACACGGCTGGGGTAGTGGTGGCTGAACCCCCTAAAATGGCATGCAGCTCATCATAGAAGCGGCATGTTTGGGGCTCTGACCCAGAGCGGCTGTTCGCCTCTCTGGTTTTCTGGTAGGCTTGCCTCAGCTCCTTCAGTTTCACGCGGCACTGCTTCGGGTCCCTGTTATGGCCTCTGTCCTTCATGCCCTGGGAGATTTTCACAAAGGTTTTGGCATTTCGAAAACTGGAACGGAGTTCTGATAGCACGGATTCCTCTCCCCAAACAGCGATCAGATCCCGTACCTCCCGTTCGGTCCATGCTGGAGCTCTTTTGCGATTCTGGGACTCCATCATGGTCACCTGCAGCTTGCCACGCTGGCCAAACAGGAAATGAGATTCAAAAGTTCGCGGTTCTTTTCCTGTCTACCTGGCCAGTGCATCTGAGTTGAGAGTGCTGTCCAGAGCGGTCATAATGGAGCACTCTGGGATAGCTCCCGGAGGCCAATACCGTCGAATTGTGTCCGCAGTACCCCAAATTCGAGCCGGCAACGTCGATTTAAGCGCTAATCCACTTGTCAGGGGTGGAGTAAGGAAATCGATTTTAAGAGCCCTTTAAGTCGAAATAAAGGGCTTCATTGTGTGGACGGGTGCAGGTTTACATCGATTTAACGCTGCTAAATTCGACCTAAAGTCCTAGTGTAGACCAGGGCTAAGTGACAAGCCCTCTGTCATCCACAGCTCTCCTCCCCTATTCCACTGAGTGCATTGCATTGGCTGGCTTCATAGGGAGCATGTGTATCTGGATACACATGTTGTTAAGGTGGTGTCCCAGAAAATAAAAAAGCCTGACAATCTTATATAGGCTTATATGATCCGACGAAATGGGTATTCACCCATGAAAGCTTATGCTCCAATACGTCTGTTAGTTTATAACGTGCCACAGGACTCTGCTGCCTATATAGACTTAGGCTTTTGTGTAGGTTTATGGGCATGAGTTGGCCTCTGGATTTGAGTGGGAATGTGTATAAACCTATGCTGTGCAGGTTTGGGGCCAAGGAAGTATACTGGCCCTTTGTTTTCCCACTCTTTGAGTATTTTAGGGATATTTACAAGTAATTATACAGGTGAAATATACACATAATACTTCGACAGGTATGATGGCTTAGGTAGGGAATGAGTATATATATTAAGGCCACAGTTGGTGCCATTTCTGCATAAAGATATACACATACAACTATGTATATATGAGTACTTGATGTATTATCACAGTACACTAATAAAGCTTCAGGTATATGGATATTTGATATGGAATTGTTATGCAAATGTATTCAGTGTATAAATTAGTGGCATTTCTATAGTACCGGGTAGTTTTGTAGTGAGTTTAATTGAATTATTCAGTACACACCTGTATAACATCAGAATATGGCCTAATTTAATGGAAACTGAGAACCCTCTTGCTTATTTGGCTATTAGTAGTTCATATATTAGTAACTGTCATATTCACAATGTGGTCTTTTTGTTATTTGTTTGTATATGCCTTTAGAAGAATAAAGGGACGGGATCTATTCCTGCATTACTTAGCAAATGATGTAGTCAATCTCCTAAAATTAAAGCACAAACATATAACTTAGAATTGCTAAATATGGGGAGATGTTAAAATGCAGTGAAAATTATTTTAATTATGCAGTTCTGTCATGCATTTTTTTTTTTAATTTGCAGGTCAATTTGCTCAAATAAAGTAGTGCCAAAGGAAAAAGGATGCACATAGAAAATGTGACCAAGGAAACAGTCCTTATTACAGGAGGAGGTGGTTACTTTGGTTTCCGGTTAGTGCATAAAATATTAACTTTATTTTACATTAAATATAGTAGCAAACACTTTAGAGTGCAGATCTTTTTAGTGAAGTGAGTCTGTAAAAATAGCATCACAGGGCTCTGTGCTTCTTGTCTCTTAGTGATTCCAGTGCCTCAAAGACAATGCTAAAGATCATGGGCTTGAGCTCAGTTGCTCTTATATTGAAAGGCTACCTCTAGTTCACCAGCTGCAAAACGAGTACCTGATTTACCAGGTTTGGGCAGTCAAAGGTGGTCAGATGTGATGCTGGCCGTCACTCCCTTGTATACTGTTGGCTATGAAGCTGCTGTGCCTTACTCACACCTGAATAGGTAGCACAGATTCTTGGAATATGTCTACACTTAAACCAGTGCAGCTAAAGGGCTTCCATGTAGACACTCGCTATAGCGACAGGAGGGGTTCGCCCATTGTTGTAGTTAATCCACTTTCCCAAGAGGCAGTAGCTATGTTGACAGAAGAATTCTTCCATCAATCTAGCACTGTCTACACGAGAGGTGAGGTCAGCATAACTATGTCTGCAGGGGTGTGGATTTTTCACGCACCCTGAGAGACATAGCTGTGCGTAATGTAAGTATTCAATGTAGGCCAACCCTCAGACAACTCTGACCAGCAAGAATTCAGCACTGAAATAGTTTACAAGTTTCTTCTACTCATGGGTGAAATGTTTCATTCATCGTTACGCTATGTATCTTAGTAACATATGGTCTCGGTCATGTTTTAGTTTAGGTTGTGCCCTATACGAAAAGGGAGTTGACGTGATTCTCTTTGATGTCCTGAAGCCAATCCAACCTGTGCCAGAGGGAGTGAAGTTCATACAGGGGAATGTCTGCTGTCTCTCTGAAGTGGAAAAAGCTCTCAGAGATGTAATCTGTGTATTCCATATTGCTTCCTATGGAATGTCTGGCAGGGAGCAGCTGAACCGAAAACTTATAGAAGACGTTAATGTGAGAGGAACAGAAAATATCATCCAGGCTTGCAGGAAAACAGGAGTGTCAAGTCTGATTTATACAAGTACATACAATGTAGTCTTTGGGGGCCAAGTTATAGAAAACGGGGATGAATCTCTGCCTTATCTACCACTTCACCTTCATCCTGATCACTACTCCCGGACCAAGTCTTTAGCTGAGATGAAAGTGCTGCAGGCAAATGACACTGAACTTGAAGAAGGGAAAGGTGTGTTAAGGACCTGTGCTCTCCGACCAGCAGGCATCTATGGGCCCGGAGAGCAAAGGCATCTTCCAAGAATAGTTAGCTACATTGAAAGGGGATTGTTTAAATTTGTATATGGAGACCCTCTGAGTTTAGTGGAATTTGTCCATGTAGATAACCTAGTTCAGGCTCATATCCTTGCTTCAGAGGCACTCAAAGCCACTAAACAGCACATAGCTGCAGGCCAAGCTTACTTCATTTCAGATGGCAAGCCAATAAACAACTTTGAATTTTTCCGACCTTTAGTTGAAGGCTTGGGTTACCAATTCCCAACTGTTCGTGTGTCTCTCTCCGTTGTATATTTTTCTGCATTCCTAACTGAAATGGTCCATTTTTTTGTAGGACGAATTTATAATTTTCAGCCTCTCCTCACTCGCACTGAGGTTTACAAAACTGGCATCACACATTATTTCAGCATGGAAAAGGCCAGGAAAGAACTAGGGTACAAACCTGAGCAGTTTAGTCTGACCGAAGTAGTTGAGTGGTTTAAATCCCAGGGACATGGAAGAAAACTCAGAATCTATACTATAAAACATCTGATTAGGGATGGAGGGTTGATCTTGCTGTTGGCCGCAGTGGTGCTCTCATGGCTTCCAGCAGCAGTAACACTCTCTGTTTGATAGATGTTGAACATTGAGCTTGGGCTCCTTTTATAGGGTGATAAAATATACAAAGTACTTGAAACTTAAAATAAAATTAGATCTCACTGTTCTCTGAAAAAGTGCATACATTCAGTGATGAAAATAACTTTGCCAGTTTCAAAAGTTTTGGCATTCCAGAACAATGTAATAATACATACCAGAATATTTTAGCATTGGTAGTCCATATGTTTGTTTTATGTCTGCTGAAGGGACTATTCTGTTTCAATGGATTAACAGTATTGCTGTGTTTTTTTTAAACAAAATTATGTGTATATATTTATAATATAATCCACTGTACATTAAAGTGCGGCCATACATTGAAATAATGGTATTGCAGGTTTCCATATGACTCTGTGACTTCCATATCAAATGAGAGGTTTTCTTTTTAACTGAGCCCCTTACATTCTCATCCTTCACACTGAATGTTAAGCTTCTTTCCTTCTTGCCTATCATCACAAGAAATAAAGGTTCTGCAGGCCAAATTGGGCCCCCAGAGACATCTACAATCCTGTTGTATTCCAGTTATGCCATTAGTGCTTTCAGCAGCTTGCACAGGTATAACTGATTGGAACTAGGTGATGCTGATTTGGTGGGTCATGCATAAGAAGAACAGAATCCAGCTCACATACTTTGAGTGGTTGGAGCAAAGGACTGGAACAATTCATTGGTGTCATTAGAGTAAATAGGTGTGATTGGTGAATACACGAACAGAATGGAACCACTGATTACAAATGTGACATTTTTTGTGTACAGTCTCTTCTCAAAATAGAACTGCACTTTCATTTAGCAGAGAGTCATACACTGGGTGTGAAGTTCAATATGATTGCAAATGGCATTTTGTTTTCGGTTATAGAGGCATGCTGCAAGGCGTATAACCAATTGTCTTAATTTGGCCTTTTTCACATTGAGAAAATTATATCCATGATCCTTGCTACTGAGAAGATTCCTGTACCCCTGTCCAAAGGAACTGTATTCTGAAAAGTTCATACATTGTCCCTTGGGGGGAGGGATAGCTCAGTGGTTTGAGCATTGGCCTGCTAAACCCAGGGTTGTGAGTTCAATCCTTGAGGGGGCCATTTAGGGATCTGGGCCAAAAATTGGGGATTGGTCCTGCTATGAGCAGGGGGTTGGACTAGATGACCTCCTGAGGTCCCTTCCAACCCTGGTATTCTATGGTTCACTCCTAGCCTTTGGTGCACTCAGACCTGACCAAAAATGAGCTGTGATCTAAGATAGAGGGATATACCTAAAGCTTCCTCATGTACAGAGGTGGTAAATTCACTCTAATTCCAATTCACACAGGGAATTTTTCCATTAGGATTAACATCAAAAAGGTTGAAATACGCTCGAGTGGTTAATCCCTGCACATTAGTCAATTTTGTCATACTAGATAAGATCTATGACCCTAATACCTCTTACTGTCACAGGAACAGTGAATTAGGTAGTGTGACAGGATCATTGGCTACTCTGATTATTGGTGGATTGGGAGTATACATGCTTGGGAGTATAAACCACCAGTTGGTGTCAAGATCTTGCTTGAGAATTTGTACCACGTGAGTTACTTTTGGTCATCTCATAATGATCTGGCACACTGGTGTTAAACAGAAAGCAAACATGTAGTAAATCCGATTTATCTAGGAAATCTGTTAGTTCTAACCCTTACAACTAGTCTTCAGGTTCTGCAACTCTAATAGATCTAATAGAAGGTTTGATGATTTGCAAACTAATATTGGTGCAGCCATCTTTTCATTCAGAGGCCAAATTCATCTCTGGTATTGAATTAAGTAGAGTTACATTACAGAAGAATTTGACTCACAGTGGGTGGATTTGCTATTGACCAAGCAGTGTGATTACAAGGGGAAAAAAAATAAACACGGAACTAGAAGTTTTGGGGGTGCTTTTATGGGTTAAAGGTATTAGATGTGTAATGTCTTATTCTGGAACACACTTCTATACAGTAGGCTAATCTGTAGCAATTACTATTAAAGTGCTTGAAGAAGCTCACGTTTCTAGATTTTTCCAACTATAAAAATGCTTATTTAAAATGAAGGAGTTGGTTCAAGTGTTAAGTAGCTGAGGGCCTCAGTATTATCAAGCAGTTAAACACCATTCCATCAACTGCCCTTGGCTAACAATTATTTTTGTGTTCCATTGTTATTCAAGCTTCTAAAAATACTATTACAATAATTTCCTTAACATGTAGTATCACCCCAAAAGGACTTCATGTTTTTATATGAGGAGCTATGAACATTTTATATTATGAAACTTGGAATTCCACTCACAGCAGCACTTTTAAGTAGACTATTTTTCAGTTTACTACACGGGGGAAATACTGATACGTTTTAGCATCCATAATTTTGGGAACAACAATTTTGTTCCTGCCCTTTATGTTGACAAGTCAAATTCACACTTGGTTTTTTATCTAAATTTTAAATAGTCTCGTTTTGAGTTGGAGCTACCCTAGTTCTGATGTTTAAAAGAAATTCCCCAGCAATTTAAGTTCTGTCTGCCTGACAGCCTTAGTTCTTGCTGCCTAGCCTGCAGTCCTGAGCTTATATAGAACTCCAGCTCTGAGGGGAAGGTGGATGGCTAGCGGAAATACACAGAGGCAACTCTTGAACAACACACACAGTCCATAACCTCCCTTCTTCAAGAGCCAGTACTCCACCTGGGGGATGGTGGCTGAGGAGTTCTTAGCTAAATACGAGCTGTAGCACCGCTCTTCCAAACTGGGCATCCGAGGAGCAGCATGTGATGGAAGTGTGCATCAAACTTGAAGTTGCTGCTTTGCTTAACTCCACCAGGGGGCACCTGCCTAAGCCAGGCCACGGGGGCTGCAACAGCTCCCATGGAATGGGTGTTTAAACTAGGGGGTACTGGTTTCCTAGCTGAGATGCAGCAGGGTTCTATACATCTCCTAATCCATGACCTTCATGGGTCAGAGTATAAAGGAGAAAGATGGCACTTCCTCTTTTTCTTATGCCCCTCTTATTGATTCTCTCTTCTTACTTTTACCTTGACAGGCATCTGTAAGGACTTGCTGTGCCAAGACAGACATTGGCAGCAGAGGATATGTCTGGAATTGGTGCCAGTGGTTACTATGCCAAATGAAGAGTAGGCACTGAGGGGAGTTCTTCCTGCATTGTCACAAAGGCTATTGTGCCTAAATACGCTGTACTGGTTTGCTCTTCACTGCCACTTTCAAATTAACTAGTGCCAGGCAATGCCAGATAAGGGATTCATTCTTAGTGGAAGATCAAAGAGATTCCAGTCTTGGGCCTATGATAGAAGGCAGCACTGAGGCCAACGCAGCAAATAAGTCGTGCCCTGTGTTTGAGGACCTTGGCTCAGAGCAGACAATGAAAACCTGTGTGTTTATAATGCCTCAACAACAGCTTTGCTGGGAACCTCAGGGAGATGTGCCAACATCTTGAGTGAAAAGATTAACCCGTGACAATATTTCTGACGGGCGAAAAGGCCTGGATGGCTGTATGGATAAAGATTATGTAGAGCACTGGATTGCTTTTAGCCATTACTTATAAGAGCAGGCCTGGATCACTTAAACTAGATTATTTGCAAGAGTAAGGGCTCTGGGATCATCCAGGACAAGCAAAACTGTGAGGAAGGTAGTTTTTTCATGCAGTGAGACAAAATGCACACAAACCAAAGCAAAATAACCCCAAAAGCACATGATTTGCTCCAGGAGCCTCTCCCCAGTGCCTGACCTGCCTATGGAGCTCAGCTGGACACAGGAGAACTGCACAGAAGCAAGCAGGATGCAGGAGGAATCATTCTCTGCTCATCCACGGAGCTGGTCCATAGCCATTACTCCCTCCTGCTCCCTGCAGGTGGAAGGACATGTGGATCCACGAAATGGCAGATCCTTTAGCTCCAGACCCTTTTCCTGAGACAGCATGCACAGGGAGGAACACACCTTCTTCCCAGCCCCCAAAATAGCCTGCTCACCCACTCCCAAAACCAGTTAGCTGTATGTGAGTAATATGGGGATAATGATGCTGATCTCCCTTTGTACAGCACTTTGAGATCTATGGATGAAAAGCACTGTATACGCTAGTCCATACTAGATCAGCATTTGGTATTGTCAATAATTCTTCTGTCTTCCAGCTCTTCCTAGTAAATAGAACAAAGGACTGGTGATAGAAAGGAGTGAGGGACACCTTGCCTCTTTCACTTTTCAAAATCAAAATAGGAAACCTGCAGCTTACTAAGAAAAATACTTTTAAACATCCCCAAAAATCAGCTGCAGATGTTCCATTTCCAGTGTTTTATAATGATCCTTTATCTAAGCCAGCTCCACATTTTTTTTCCTTGTGCAACTGGGTAAAGATCATTAAGGTATTACTTTAACTCGCAGGCTATGCCACAAGGTTTCCAAAATTTAGTACACGCTTGGTGTTCCTGAATGTGAATTATCAAAAGTACAACTACAAATTGAAAATGTATCTATTGAAATTTTAGAAGAGATGCCATTAAAATTTCTAGTGCTCAAACTACGTCAGCACTTGACATGTGTCCCTCCCTTCCTTCCTACTTCATCTCTTTAAAGATGTTTTGAGGAGGCTGATATTTGTAAATAAGAAACTAACACACTAGAGATTCATTGAGAATTTATGGCAGCTCTTTAACCTGTCACAAAAGTAACAGATACCAATGAACACGCACACACTTACATATGCACATATATACTTATTTATTTAAAAAAAATAAATTAAATTTCAATTATCTCCACCCCAGCTCCCAGAGAACTGACTGGGTTTTTACAGCCTCTGCTGCTAAAAAACAAAACAAAACTGCATTTTCCTTCAAAAATGTTCATTATTTTCTAATTACTGAAAAAGTCCCCACATTTTCAACAATACACTGGATTGTTTAATCTAACAATACGAAATGATCCTCAAGGAACATTATTCTAAGCGTGTCAGAAATCCTTATCTTTAGTAGCTCTGGGAGGTTTGTTTGATTCCAAGGACGAAGTATACACTGAATCTGAAAGCAAGCTTCCCAGCCCAAGCCATGGTTGCTCCAAGCTCCAGCCCAAGCCGCAGCATCTACACAGCTATTTGTACAGAGCTAGTGTGAGCCCCACCAACATGAGTCTGTAGACCTGGGCTGGAAAGCTCAGGCCCAGATGCTTTGTAGACATGCCCATAAACACTGCTGTTACATAGGAGAAGAAAATCTTGGCTCCTGATGGGCTAAAATAGTCATGTGATGAGAATCAGTAAATTTCTACTATTTCTGAGGAGGTAAACAATATTCTGGCCTGGAACTAAGTCAACCAGTGAGATCACACATGGAAATAACTACATCCTAACTCAATCAGCTGAGGTCAATAAATATTTCCCCTCAACTCATACTACAGTCAGTCAGACCACTGCCTCTTGATTGGTTCCAGAGTATTCAATAATGATCTTTTCTGAACCTCTGAATTCATCTCTCATTTGGAATGTTAGTTAAAAGAAACTGCAATATTAAAAAAATAGAATCATGGCCAAAATGGAGAAATTTCCAGATGTGTCTGAGGAAAACATTCAGAATGTATGTAACAAGCCACAGATGCAAATTTTCAGTCAGCCTCAACTTGGCCTCTAATTTGGCACATACACATATTCATAGATTTAAAGGCCAGCAGAGGCCATTAAGATCATCTAGTTTGACCTCCTGCGTGACCCCGGCTACACATTTCACCTGCATCACACAAAGTAGCATGTAGCTGAACTAGAACTGATCTGTTAGAAAGACTTCCAGCCTTGATTGAAGGACCCCAAGTGACACAAAATTTACCACATGAGCAGGTAACTGGGCGCTCATGCAAAGGGCATTTGCCTGTGTAATTAAGGAAATTGCATATGCAGAAATTTGTTCCCTAATTTAATGTCTGGTGAACATCAGGATTACTGTCCTTCCAAGTAGATACAGCCTTCAGTTTTGTCTTGGTAAGACTTCACCTCTAGGGTGAATAACATCTGACATACATCAATATCAACAGAATCATAACAGCCTCAAAGCCATGAGAGAATTGACATGGAGTTTACCCTAGCAAAGTATCCAGAGGCTTTTGGGTAAATGTGTTCTAACATAGAACACAAGAAATTAGGATAGAAAGAACTATTGCTCAATTTTGACAAGGCCTTGAATGCCTGCAAAATTGGTAATTCAACCCTTTTCCTTCCAGGTACAGTACAATATTTGGGAAGAGTGATTCTGGAAAAGTAGCTTACTGTAAAATGAGTTGAACTTAAACATACATTTAAGGGCTCTTCTCACAACCAGTTTAACATAGCACATGTGCAGAGAATCTTTGAAGTGTGGTGCAATGTGCTAATTCATAAACATTTACACAGCAGTAGTAGAGGGCAATATGATTCATCATACATATGCTGCTCTGTGGCAGCAATGCTTATAACAATGAGAGAAGCCAGGACAATTATGCCATGTGGACAATTTATGTCCAGAAGCCACAGCTGATGTTTTTATTTAGTTTTGAATTTTTGGCAGAAAATTATTGGGATCTTGTCCAAGGAGAATCTCTCACCTCGGGGCTCTAGCAGTCATAACACTATATCCAAAATACTTCACTGAGAAATGAGAACACAGCATTGTCAGGGTGTTAATCTTACATATGGCTCGAGGAGCTGTTCAAAGTGTCTATTTTTTTTTTTAAAGGGAGGTGGATTTCCTGTAAGAACAAACTTTTGGGGCACCTAGTGGTCTAGCATGCAAGGATTTCTGGAATTTTCGCTTTCCCGACCTGCCTGTTAATTGGCTGCCTGGCATCGTAGCAAACTCCCCCAGGGCAGCCCCTAGGCAATATGGTCTGTGGTGGTGATTTGGCAGGAAGCAGGATGGGGAAGAAATCTGAATCCACATGCAAAAAGTTCTTTTCCTTTAAGTCCCAAGCTGTGCATCCCAACTTCATTTGGGGACAGAATAGTTTTTCGACTTATCAGGAAGGAGAAGAGTAAACGTACTTTAACGTGCTACTCCTCTCTTATCTTTTGGATTTGGTACCTGGTATTTAATTTCCAAAAAATGTACAAGAGAAGCCTGCATCTTCAGGGAGTTTGTATGCAGAGGGAAATTCAAAACCCAACCCTAGTATTTCCTGACTCTCTGCTATAGCACTTTCATATGAAGTTAAATAAGACAAGACTGTCTTTCTGGAATAACTGAAACCTCAAGGGTGCTCCTTGAAATATCAGCTGTGAATGCATAGTGGAATCAATTAAATGAATTTTGAGACAGCAGATCAGCAGAAGTGGTGGCATGGGGAGCAAGGGAAACTGAAAATCGCTGAGGCAGTTCACTGTGCAATGAATTCCAAACGCAAACACGCTTTCAGTGGTGAGAGATCCAACATTACCTGTGTGTCACTTTAAGCCTTGGGCAATTACTTAGACAGAAGAAAAGAAGCTCTTCTGCACTTACCTGAAATGTACATTCAAACATACAGATTGCAAAACTCCACCCACATATGCATACTGTGACTAGTCATTTCTTATTAATGAGTAATGTGCTGCTAACATGAAGAATCAATGCATACAAATATTAAGATGTTTGGTATCTGATACATCATCCAAACGCTTCTGCTGGTGGGATGGTGTTCCAAGAAGGAGGAGTGCTAGGCAGAGGCGGGCTCCACCTAATGAAGAGAGGGAAGAGCATCTTCGCAAGCAGGCTGGCTAACCTAGTGAGGAGGGCTTTAAACGAGGTTCACCGGGGGAAGGAGACCAAAGCCCTGAGGTAAGTGGGGAAGTGGGATACCGGGAAGAAGCACGAGCAGGAGCGCGTGAGAGGGGAGGGCTCCTGCCTCATACTGAGAAAGAGGGACGATCAGCGAGTTATCTCAAGTGCCTATACACAAATGCAAGAAGCCTGGGAAACAAGCAGGGAGAACTGGAAGTCCTGGCACAGTCAAGGAATTATGATGTGATTGGAACAACAGAGTCTTGGTAGGATAACTCACATAACTGGAGTACTGTCATGGATGGATATAAACTGTTCAGGAAGGACAGGCAGGGTAGAAAAGGTGGGGGAGTTGCATTGTATGTAAGGGAGCAGTATGACTGCTCAGAGCTCAAGTATGAATGCAGAAAAACCTGAGAGTCTCTGGATTAAGTTTAGAAGTGTGAGCAACAAGGGTGATGTCGTGGTGGGAGTCTGCTATAGACCACCGGACCAGGGGGACGAGGTAGATGAGGCTTTCTTCCGGCAACTCACGGAAGTCATTAGATCACAGGCCCTGGTTCTCATGGGAGACTTCAATCACCCTGATATTTGCTGGGAGAGCAATACAGTGATGCACAAACAATCCAGGAAGTTTTTGGAAAGTGTAGGGGACAATTTCCTGGTGCAAGTGTTGGAGGAACCAACTAGGGGCAGAGCTCTTCTTGACCTGCTGCTCACAAACCGGGAAGAATTAGTAGGGGAAGCAAAAGTGGATGGGAACCTGGGAGGCAGTGACCATGAGATGGTCGAGTTCAGGATCCTGACATAGGGAAGAAAGGAGAGGAGCAGAATACGCACCCTGGACTTCAGAAAAGCGGACTTCGACTCCCTCAGGAACTGATGGGCAGGATCCCCTGGGAGAATAACATGACGGGGAAGGAGTCCAGGAGAGCTGGCTGTATTTTAAAGAATCCTTATTGAGGTTACAGGGACAAACCATCGCGATGCGTAGAAAGAATAGTAAATATGGCAGGCGACCAGCTTGGCTTATCAGTGAAATCCTTGCTGATCTTAAAACACAAAAAAGAAGCTTACAAGAAGTGGAAGATTGGACAAATAACCAGGGAAGAGTATAAAAATATTGCTCAGGCATGCAGGAGTGAAATCAGGAAGGCCAAATCACACCTGGAGTTGCAGCTAGCAAGAGATGTTAAGAGTAAAAAGAAGGGTTTCTTCAGGTATGTTAGCAACAAGAAGAAAGTCAAGGAAAATGTGGGCCCCTTACTGAATGAGAGAGGCAACCTAGTGACAGAGGATGTGGAAAAAGCTAATGTACTCAATGCTTTTTTTGCCTCTGTCTTCACGAACAAGGTCAGGTCCCAGACTACTGCACTGGGCAGCACAGCACAGCATAGCATAGGGAGGAGGTGACCAGCACTCTGTGGAGAAAGAAGTGGTTCAGGACTATTTAGAAAAGCTGGACGCGCACAAGTCCATGGGGCCGGATGCGCTGCATCCGAGAGTGCTAAAGGAGTTGACGGATGTGATTGCAGAGCCATTGGCCATTATCTTTGAAAACTCATGGCGATCAGGGGAAGTCCCGGATGACTGGAAAAAGGCTAATGTAGTGCCCATCTTTAAAAAAGGGAAGAAGGAGGATCCTGGGAACCACAGGCCAGTCAGCCTCACCTGAGTCCCCGGAAAAATCATGGAGCAGGTCCTCAAGGAATCAATTCTGAAGCACTTAGAGGAGAGGAAAGTGATCAGGAACAGTCAGCATGGATTCACCAAGGGCAAGTCATGCCTGATTAACCTAACTGATTTCTATGACGAGATAACTGGCTCTGTGGATGAGAGGAAAGCAGTGGACGTGTTGTTCCTTGACTTTAGCAAAGCTTTTGACACAGTCTCCCACAGTATTCTTGCCAGCAAGTTAAAGAAGTATGGGCTGGATGTTCGGACTATAAGGTGGATAGAAAGTTGGCTGGATCGTCGGGCTCAACGGGTAGTGATCAATGGCTCCATATCTAGTTGGCAGCCGCTATCAAGTGGAGTGCCCCAAGAGTCGGTCCTCGGGCCAGTTTTGTTCAATATCTTCATAAATGATCTGGAGGAGGGTGTGGATTGTACCCTCAGCAAGTTTGCAGATGACACTAAACTGGGAGGAGAGGTAGATACGCTGGAGGGGAGGGATAGGATACAGAGGGACCTAGACAAATTAGAGGATTGGGCCAAAAGAAATCTGACGTGGTTCAATAAGAACAAGTGCGGAGTCCTGCACTTAGTACGGAAGAATCCCATGCACTGCTACAGACTAGGGACCAAATGGCTGGGCAGCAGTTCTGCAGAAAAGGACCTAGGGGTTACAGTGGAGGAGAAGCTGGATATGAGTCAACAGTGTGCCCTTGTTGCCAAGAAGGCCAATGGCATTTTGGGCTGTATAAGTAGGGGCATTGCCAGCAGATCGAGGGACGTGATTGTTCCGCTCTATTCGACATTGGTGTGGCCTCATCTGGAGTACTATGTCCAGTTTTGGGCCCCACACTACAAGAAGGATGTGGAAAAATTGGAAAATGTCCAGCAGGGGGCAACAAAAATGATTAGGGGACTGGAACACATGACTTATGAGGAGAGGCTGAGGGAACTGGGATTGTTTAGTCTGCGGAAGAGAAGAATGAGGGGGTTTCAAAGAGGATGGATCTCGACTGTTCTCAGTGGTAGCAGATGACAGAACGAGAAGTAATGGTCTCAAGTTGCAGTGGGGGAGGTTTAGGTTGGATATTAGGAAAAACTTTTTCACTAGGAGGGTGGTGAAACACTGGCATGCATTACCTAGGGCAGTGGTGGAATCTCCTTCCTTAGAAGTTTTTAAGGTCAGGCTTGACAAAGCCCTGGCTGGGATGATTTAGTTGGGGACTGGTCCTGCTTTGAGCAGGGGGTTTGACTAAATGACCTCCTGAGATCCCTTCCAACCCTGATATTCTATGATTCTATGCTCTTGCAGAGAAACAAACTTGCTGATCTCATAGGTTTTTTTCCATCTATAACTTGTATGTTCCTACTAGTGACTGAAGCCATAAGGATAATGTATCTATCTGTATTTCTGCACAGTTATGTTATGGATTAAATATATTTTGGGTAAACAGACAACATTAAAAAAACCAAACAGCACTGATTGACATTATCTTGTAAGAAGGTCTGCAAGACTACAGATGGACAGTTTTCAAACAATTCATTTGTATGCAGATTAGCAGCTGGAAGGATGTGAGAAACGATGTTACACCAAAGTAAATTATCCAACTGGAGTTTAAAATACCTTTCCTTTCTCGCTCCTACCTTATGTATAAAAAATATTTTCTTGCACTGCCTTGACGGAGCTGATTTACGTGACACAAAATAATGTCGTATTTCTCTCTCTTTTTTTTTTAAAGCTTTTCACAGAATCCAACAAATAACCCATCTACAATCTTGGAGTACATTTAGTTTTAGAAAATTAACTCATTCACTGGCATTAAAAAATGTAACAAGAAACATCTATCAGAAGAAAATACAGCATAACCATCCATTGCCCAGAATATTTTATGTGTGGGGGATACAATCTGCTGTATCTGATGTCACAATCATATTGTAAAAGTGCTTTTACAGCATTTAATAAATTAAACCCATTATCTGTCAATCATAAGGAGTCAGATTATTAATGTTGTGTGTGTGCAAATGGTTGTGAATGCCTAACTTGTGTCCTGTGCACACAAATACTGTAGATGATTTGTACTTGTACTTTGGGTATTCGTAAGGGTAAGTTAGCTCTGCACAAATGCATGCAAGTTGTCTGCACACCCTGTAGCTGTGAAAAGCTGACCCTTAGTTTCCTTCTTACTCTAAGGTTTGTGATACTGGATGCAAATAATGACTCGAATATGCAGAAAATCTAGCCTGCACTGTGTGTATGCTTTGTACAGAAGATAAATTAAACAACAATGAAAATAGTTCCTCCTACAAGAAAAATTAAGGAAACCCATCTTTCTTCTTAGTAAATTCAGCCTGATGAGACCTTCATTGAGTATGACGATCAGGGTAAATTAATGTCTCTTCCTGAGTGGCTTTCTAAAAGGTGCACCAAAAGGAATAGCTTCTCTAGGAGTAGAATTTGCTGTTACTGACTTTCTTCTCCTTTAATCTTCAGGAAAAAGAAAATTCAAGTCAACAATTCTGCTAGGTATTCTAAGAAAAAATACAAAGGTCAACTCAGCAACTCTGTGTACTTCCGTTTCTTTTCTTTAAATTAAAATGTGAACACAGTAACAGCATATATATGGCACTTCATATATTCAAAGCTTTGTACATATATTTTTTAAAAAGAGCCAAAAAATTCAAAGAACAATGTCATGGACATTCCCACAAAAATGCACACACAAACTACTTTCATAACTCTCTATTTGCATGCTGAAATGCTGGTCCTTCTAGGAATATCCATTTTCCCATCTTTAAATATTTGGTCCCCAAATATTCCAGTTTCCACCCAGTTTACTAAAAGGTAAGTGTCTCTTGGGGTGTGCTTATAATTATCACAACATATACTTACAGCACCTTCCATCCAGGAATCTCAAAAACACACCACACCCCAAGGAAGTGAGTAAATATCATCCCCACTGAACACAGAGATGCACCAGTACACAGAAATTATGTGGACTTATGAATAGAACTCATGAATCTCAACTCCCAGTCCTTTGCGCCTACCACTAGCCCATAATATTAACTCAGCTCAGCTCCCCACCTTCAGCTCTACCACAGACTCACAGGGTGACAGGATAGTTGCCAACTGGGTTTTCCTTGGATGAATGCCAGCAGCACCTTGCTCCTACTGACCAATCATAACCCTGGCTCTGCACTGAGCTGTGGCATTGGTCACTTCTCTGGTTCTAAAGAGACCTGAAAGACTGTCCTCTGATTGGCTGGGAGGAAAGGATTTGACCCCTCTCCCCGCTTTAGGCTGGGGGAGGAGCAAACATCCATTCAGGATCTCCTCCTGCTACAGGAAGGTCCTGTTCTCCCTGTACCCACCCATAAGCTGGGGCAAGGCTTAGGGCAAGGGGTCTTTTTTCCTTAGGATAGAGTCTGGGAACAACTGGCAATTCCATGTTGTCGCTAAGATTAACCATTGTGTTTTCATTGGTGTTTGAGTCAAACCGGAACTATGTTCTGGTCCCACATGTTCCAGTATGTTTATGTCACAATGCAGTCTTTATGGTGGGTAATTTATTTGGCTGTTTGAGCTGGATGGTAGGAAAGGGTCTAAGCTCCAAAGATTGTGGCATTCAGTGAGTCACTGGGACCAAGAGACTCATCAGCATGGGCTGCTGGAGTCTGGTTCAGTGGAGGCTCAAACTCCCTTTACAAGAGTGAAGCATGGCTTCTAGTCCAAGCCAAGTGGGCCAGAAATTATCTTATCTTAATAAAGCTGAAGCCTTTGTGCCATACAGGACCCCTTAGATATGAGGACCCTTTTGGGGGCCCTGGGCAGAATAAAGAGGATCAACCTACCTCCTGCTGCATGTCTCTTGATACATTTGTAATTGGTTCTCATTCACACTGAATTCTTTTAGTAAGGCATCTCTGTTAGGGTTCCTTAAGTTCTGGTGGGTGTCATACAGGAAGAGCTGGTTGTTCAGCTCTGCCTGGCGCTTCCGAAGCTGCCGACATGATGAATAAAGCGCCTCTTCGCTTTCCTTCAAGAGAAAAAGAACATCAGAAACCAATTCAGCATCTTACACAAGCTATTCTTCCCTGATTTTTCTAAGTAGTAGTTTGTAAATTATTTTTTGTAAGACACATGTGGAAACAAAATAAATAACTGAGAAAACACTGAAAAAAAGAAGATGCTCATAAAAATAAGCTTTTAAAAAAGGTAAGGTGTTCAAACACCATGGTGATCAGTGAGAAATAAATGGATTACAGAGAAAGCATTTGATGACGTATACAGGTATGCTGAGGAAAGAAAGGGAGGAGGCTGTGTGTTACAATTGCAGTTACTTTATCTTCTAATAGTCTTGAAACACTGGAAAGACATTTTAATTTTTGAAGGTTATATCTGATAGAGCCCAGTATGCAAACACTACCAAGGATTGGGCTTATTACTAAGTCTCATTGCTTCCAATGGAGTTTCTTATTAAACTGCAAACGAAAGGTCAGATTCTTCAAACACCAAGCATTAAATGGGACCATTCATGGCCATTAGTACTATGGCTAAGGGGGCAGATTCTTCACTGGTGTAAGCTGTCATAGCTCTATTGACTTCACTGCAGCTATGACAGTTTACACCAGCGAAGTATCTGCTCCTTAGGATATGTCTAAACTGCAGCCAGGAATGAGCCTCCCAATCCCAGCAGATACACTTGGCTAGTGGGACTCAAGCTAGTACACTAAAAATAATGTCAGAGGTTGCAGCTCTGGCAGAGACTCAGGCTAGCCACCCAAGTTCAGACCCAGGGGGTCAGGTGGGCTGGAGACTTCAAGCTGCCACTCAAGCCACTAAGTCCACATTGCTATGTTTCGCACGCTAGCTTGAACTATGCTTGAGCGCGTCTGTTCACCAGGCTGAGGGGTCCCAGCTGCAGTGCAAGCTTATCCTTAATGTTTGCAGGATTAGGCCTTTAATTTGCATTTGTACTTGCATGTCATCTTCTAGAAAAAGGGCTCTCAAAATTCTTCACAAACAAACAGTTAGTAAACCACAATACCCCTTTGACACCGGGAGCCATTTATGGACTATTTTAAAACATTATGCACACGGGTAATCTCATCTGTGTAGTGCCCATCTGTGTAAATCTTGGCAGGACTGGGGTCTTAAGTTCCACACCAATACCAAAACATCCCACACCAACAAAGAAACATGCGACTAGTAAACAGAAGGCACTGTCACAGCAGACATACTAATAATCAAGCTCCTTTCACCCCTCAGCCCACTGGCTCCCCAGATGCCTAAGACAATGGATGAGCTTCGCAACATGCTTACCAGGTTAACAAACTGTAAAATCAAGGATACACATACACACACGCACACCATCCATCCCCCTGCACTACAGCTGATACCGTGCTGCAGCTCCCTCTCTGGGGATGTCAAGGAGCTGAAGCACAATCTCTCTGCTCTACCCTACATAGTACGCATTTTAAAAATATGAAATAAAGGGTCTCATTTTTAAAGGGGACCAAGCTCGCCTCCTTCAGTCATAAATGAGGACATGCAAATGGCCAATTGCTGACCACTTAGACAGCTACATGCCCTCATTTATTCTCACAAGTAACTGTATCCACCAACGCTGGATTTGAAAAGTAAGATTGAAGTGGACACTTTGGGAATTTCTGTTAAAAACACAAATGCCAGCTAAACTGATGATAATCTGAAAATGCTTCAAAAACAGTCATACTTTTGACAGCAAGTAAATCAAATTTGCAAGCAAATAAGACATGCTTCTAAATTTAAAAACTTTCTTAATACACTTACATTTCTAGACTATATGGAAAGACTCCAGTTAATTTCAATAGGAACTGGATAAGGGCTGACATGATAAAGATGCAAAAATGTTGTAACAGTGTATAAATTATGTCTCAACAAATTTCAAAACCATCTGCAAGACCTTTCATAATTTTAGATTGCCTCTCCAAGTGTATGCAGGTGGGGTTTCTGTATAAATAGATCTGTTATTAAATTATAACATTTTATGGAGGATTTTCTTTAAAAGCAGCGTAACAGATGGAAAATACCTTGATCGTTTTTATGATGCTTCTAGGTTGGTTTGGCAAAGGTTCTAAAAGTTTTATGACCATGGCAAGTCTTTGTTCACTATAGACTGTCCAAAAAAAAAAAATCTTTAAAATTTCTCCCACCACTGCATCAGCATCCTGAGGTTTCATCACTGTAAATATACATTTGCGCTGCATCTCAATTTTGGTTTACCAAGCTGGAAGAAAGGGGACTGAGGCTGGGAGATGTGCTATAGTCAAAGAACTTATTGCTGAGAAGGTTGAGAGGTGCACGGCTGCTATGAACAACACTTTAAAAGACACTGCCCCAGGCAAATAATGAGTTGGATTTTTTGAAGAAAATCCCAGACACCAGGGATTCTCAGCATATTTACATATTGAACATGGATATCACTTTGTAAAGCACTGAGTCACTATCGGTGGAGCGATTTGTAGGAGGTGGCAACAACAAAGTCCTATCTAGCCTTCTATGCCAGGCTCATCCCCATGGGATTTGAGACCTTATGTGTTTAAAAACTCTTTTTTAAAAGGATATACATTTTATTTATATACACAAGTCTCATATTATGACCCTCTCCCCCCTTGCGATCCCTCACCTTTGACCCCTTTTCTTCCTTGGGACCCTTCCTTCCCCCTCATGATCCTGACCTCCTGACCTCTTATTTTCCCTCAGACCCCCCCCTCATTGCAACTCCTCTTTTCTCTCCCTTCTCCAGTGGGTAATGGAAAGCTACAATGGCTGCCAAGAAGCTGACAGGATTGCATACAGTCATTGCATAGGGGGTCTCGTGAGACTTTCTGCACAACTTGGAAAAGAGTGTTTCCCAACTCCTCCAAGTCTGCTGCTTCTCCTGTGAAACTGAGCATGTCTGTAAATGCAATACCTTCCAGTTCAGTGTCTACGTAGCTGCAGGACTAAATCCCTCCAGAAACCCAGTGACTTACTGATGAGAAGCACATAGTGTTCTGCTGTAAGAAATGCAGTGGCCAGATTCTGGTGTCAGTTACAGCAGCTTGTGTTTGGAGTCACTCCATCAACTCCAGTGGGCTTACACCAACATAAAGCAGAAACAGAGTATTTTTTCCTCTGAAATTTGCAGTATGTGGGAGATCACCTTGACTCCCTAGCATCTCACTTGTTTCATAGAGTGTCTATCAAGCCTGGAGAATTGTGACTTGAAAATTTGGAAAGTGGAAAGAGCACTAACTAGACAAGATGGGTCTGGTTTAAAGTACTGTATGCAATAACTTTGGGTATCAATAGTAATTAACTGCGTGTGGCTCACCCACCTGCCTGGCTGATTCCATTCCTAACGATTTGTAATTTTTTTCCAAGAAGAGGATTATGTGCACACAAAATTATAGTGGTTCAAACAGATGTTCTGTGAAGGCTTAAAATGAGGCAGGTTTATCTGCAATGGGATCCAGTGCTGGGTCTCTGGTTTTTATGAAATATTGGCAATTATTGTTTTTACTTTTGCTCTTTGGCAAAGCCTTCTATTTTTCCCATAGATTGATTCTGAAGACTGGAGAAGGAATATATTCTGTCCTGAGTATCTACTGCCAAGTGAGGCTTCAATATTAGTGAGTCTCACCTCCAAGAAGGGCATAAAAGCTTGAGAAGAGCTCTTTCCTACTGCCAGAGAATTAAATTCTAGCCGGCTTTATTCAAATCAAGGAGGCCAGTGGCAATGCTGCTGTGTGAGCAGAACACTCTTTAAAAGAGTGAGACATCTCTCCACCCAGATAGCGAGCAACTGAATTCTGGTTAATGAACATTCAGGAACCAGTGTGAAAGATTTAAGGGTCACACAATATCAGGCAGAAATATATGAGCGAACTGTCACCTCTTAGTTACCACAAAGGACTCACTGACCCATGCTTTGGGCGTAGCGGAAGTGATGAGGAAAGTGTAACACACAGGAAGTGGCTTTGCACTTACCAGAACTTGCTGCATTTCACAGAAAACCAGAAGGGAAGCCAGCTCTGTATCTTCACTGTAACCATTTTTGAGAGGTACTGACCTAAAACCTGGGGAGAAGGTACACAGAAGTAATTAAAGTAAGGTTGCTTGCAGTTGGGGGCAAGCATGTATGGGATTGGGTAGATCCTTCCATTCTGCTCACCTGCTCCATTCCTTGGAGCAGGCAGAGCTTTGAAGTTTACAAGGAAGCAGCAGGCAGAGATGGGGTGACGAAGTTTTCCCACAGCCCTGCAAATCAAACCAGGTCTGGAGAAATCAGAAGTTAACTCAAGGGATGCCCACATTTGGATCAGCTAAAAAAGCAAAGGTAGAACACAAGGTAGCAGAAGAATCTTAAGCAGTGATCTCTCCAGAACTCATTCTGGGCACACAATCACATTAATGAAACGGAGACTGTGGCAAAATGAATTAAATCACAGTAATCATTCCATAATCAAATCATTAGAAGGTAGGCACAAACACAGCACTGCTGATACTGTTACCTCTCCAAAATAAACCTATAACTGGGTGTTGAGCAGGGTGGAGAACATCGATCCTTTTTTGGCATTTGCTCTCTCCTAATCCAGAGGGTCAGATTTAAATCTATCAGTCTCAAACTAGTGGGACCAAGAATGCAGGAGATGCCTTTACTTCCCACTGTGAAACTGATCATACTGCAGTAGTAGGTTGTTCCATACCCACTTTCTCGTTGCTGATACAACTTGTTCTGTGTAACTCTTTCCTCTTGCAGAAAGAATGAAAAACAATTTGGTGGTGGGCAATTCATTTAAAAGATTATTTTCAACACGCCGGACATCCTTGTTCAGAGTGAGGGTGTGGTATTTTCAGTTTAGAGTAGCTATCTCCCAAGGTGTGTTTCAGCTGGATGGGCCCTTTACTACCTAAGTTTTGAGAGCAAATGCGCAGTACTACCAGTTCTAAAGACCATGTTTCTTGCTTAACACTTTATGACACCCTATTGATCTTTACCTGATTTGATTCCTTTGATGGGAAAAGTGGCATGTGCTAAGAAGTTGGGGTCACTGAACATATCCTCCTCGTAAACAACGAAGCGCAGAAACGCTAGGTTAGGATCATAAATTTCAAACTTCACTTGCTCTGGACAGGGTACCCAAACTGGGTTAAGGCCATTGTCATCTGAAATGAAAAGAAAAAAATTTTGATATGATGCAATCACTTCCCTTTATGCACATACAAGTGTATATCCAAGGGCAGATGCTGGGATTATATATGAAGTCTGAAATTCCTTATCCCAGCTGTTTTTGTATGCCCACTCAAGAAGTTCTTGGGGGGAGGACAAATCTATTTTAAAAAATCTAAATTTAAATACATTTCTTCATATTTAATATATTTATATAAACAAACCTCCCTGGACATCTATTTTTAAAAGGTGAATTGCTTCCCACACATTAATGAAAAACAAGCCCCAGGTCTGAGCTTAAAAACAGACACTAGCATGAAACATACTAAGTAGACAGATATGCACCTATCCAGTTTGCATACTCATTGGTGGAGTTTTGTGGGGTCATCTGCACGTGTGCTGGAGGCTGAAAATCTGGCTCTGAAGGTCGATACAAATACAAAATATAAAGGTCAAAATACTCTTCTCTGGGAAACACTGCAGTTTCCCCTACTGGTGCAGCTCTCTACTGAACATTCTGAACTCATTCCACACCCAGAATTTTGCACGGCCTCATCTGTCACAGAGAAACAGCAGTGCATCTAGAAATGCCAAAATCAGGCACTAAAATAGACAGCCAATCACATGGCTTAAAGTAAGAAAAATCGTGGAGTAGGACCCTCACATTTAAAATCCTTACCCCGGTTTGGCTTTTAGTGTAACTCTGGCCCACACAGATACATTTAGTAAATGAACCTCATTTGCACACACAGCTCCATGAGATCAATGGGGTATTTCCTTGACTTTATTGGGCTCTGGATCAAGACGATAACACTTTGCATGCTCCATAGCTGTATTACCGCCCTTCTTGTCCAAGATATCGCCAAAGAAATGATCTAATCTTTGAACTCAAACCTAAATATAATAGCCTCAGGACTTAGAATCTTTCTGTTTGGAGTGCACCTTCAGAAACTGACTAGCATCTTCAGAAAGACAAGGTGGGTGAGGTAATATCTTTTATTGGACCAACTTCTGTTGGTGAAAGAGACAAGCTTTCAAGCTACACAGAGCTCTGAACACTGCATCTAGCATCTTCAGAGACACTTTCAACTTACCAAGCAATTTAAAAATATGGAAATTACACATAGTCAGAAACTTAACAGAAATGCACATTATGAACCTAACACAGTTTAACACTTGCATGTTTCTCTGCCTGAATTTGACACAAAGTGAAGGTTCTAAAATTAATTGGTTCTGAGGCAAGCACTAGCCTACTAATACATGATCATCAGTTAAGAGCAATAAAGTCACCTTATCCTTCTGGTCTATGATATTTGTAAATTATAGATAAGGAAAAGATTATTTCATGGAAGTCACGAATTTTGTGACTTTCAGAGACCTCCGTGACATTTTCCACTTCAGCACTGGGGTTGTGGGGAGACCCTGCAGCTCCGAGGCACTGCATGCAGCAGGTGCTGGTCACCCCGCCCCACAGCAGGGCTCCCGCCCTCCCTCCCGCTCAATTGTCCACCAGTCAACCCTCTACCCATTATTTTTAGTAAAAGTCAGACAAGTCACAAGCTTCTGTAAATTTCTGTTTATTACCCGCAGCCTGTCCATGACTTTTACTAAAAATAATCATGACAAAATTTTAACCTTAATTATAGATAGCATGCATGATGGATGTCCTCTACCAATTTTATTTAGTGCACTGCAAATATAACTCCACTCCTACCCAGAAAGTTGTGCAGATACTCACTCACAACTGTTGTCTTGAACTTGCTATTATCACATTCGGCCCCACAAATCTCCACCTCTACAAATGGACAGGCAATGCTTCTGCCGGGTTTAGGCAGATGGCGAGCACCTAAAACCTATAAACGGACAATAGGTTATACCAGTATTTGAAAAAAAACTTGGCACTGCATTTTACCACTGCTAGTGGTCTACAGAACTATTAAACAGTGCCACTGAAAAAGGCAACTATTTTTCTTATCAAATAGTCCTCAAGAGAGCACGCATATATGCCCTTTCTCTCCTGGACAGATGGATGTGTGTAGAAATATATATATTTACAAACACACACAAGTATCACTGGCACAGGTAACTGCACTTATAGTTAAGATTGCCCTACATTTTCCAATGTAAAATCCTGTTTTCAGTTGCTTATAACTTTGCATAACTCCAAGCTTGAACGATTCAAGCTAAAATTTTCCATGCTGAGTATCTGCCTCAGGCTGATGGGGAAGAGTGGCTTGTTTGTTTATTTTTAATTTTCAGCTAAAATGGTTCAGCCATTTCCGAAATGAGATTAGAGAAAAATAGGATATTTGGTCTGTGGTGGGAGGGGGAAGGGGAGGGAAACAAACAAAAAAAACCCTCTTATAACCATTTCATTAAGAAGCTCTAGCACCTCCACACTCTAGAGCAGGGACTTGAAATTTGGCAAGGGGTTTCCCTGCTGTCAGGGAGGTGCCCACTGACATCCTTGTGGAGATACGTGCAAATATGGCCAAGTTATAAGCCTCCAAAAAAAATCACATGCTCAGAACAGACTTGTTAGAATTTAGCAGCTAAATTCTCCAGTGATTCTCTCTGTACTGGGCATGCTCCATCCCCGCACAGCTCTTATGTGCCAACTAGACTGTGCATGTGCCTTCCCTACAGTGAGTGAAGGGTTGCAGGGAGGCTGAGCAGGACTTTGCTTGCAATTGCTCTTCCCAGCTGCTAAGGGGCCACTGTGGCAGCAGACACAGAAACTGAGAGCAGGGAGGCTGTTCCTCCTGTGCTCTCAATACTTCCCTGCAGGCATCATGGTGTAGGAGGAGGAAGGTGCCTGACTCAAATGCAGAGGAGTGAAAAATGGATAAGAGGAAAGGGAGTGCACCTCAATCTTACCGAATGAGGTGAGATTCTGTGGAAAAAATAGTATGTGACTATATAATTAAAGACTGTACCTCAATGTATACATAAGGGGGTTGAATCAGAGTTGCACATGCAAACATAATTCTGGCATTTCCTGATTTGTGTGTGCTTATCTTTGCAATCTGAACATCTTTCAAGGTCGATTTTTTTGGATGCAATATATAGATACACACGCAACCTCTTTTTCTTTCTTTCTCTCTTGCTCATATGCATTCAAGAGTCTGAATCAAATTTTCAATCCAGTTTTAAGTGGACCTCCATTCTTGCAAGCACAAATTATTTGAGGTGTAATCCGGCACAAGCAATTATTTGTGACCACAGTTCTGGTCACTTCCACATGCTGGTCAATGAATGCACTTGTAAATGCATGTCAATGAATGCACTTGACAAACATTTAAGTGACCTAAATCATGAGCATAAATAAGTATGGGTACAAAAATTTGTCTGCAAAAATGGAGAACTGTGTCTGAAAATCCAGCTCTGTATACCACACTTTCACAGAACATACAGAAGATGCCTCACTTCAAATGCCACAGTTCCACTCTCAAGATGACGAGATAATAGTGAGGTTCTGTACTCTTTTAGCACTTCTTACATTTTTTAAAAAGCACTTGTTCTTTTGCTTTACTTTTATAGCCCGTGTCTGCATCCAAACTGCAGTGAGAAGTGGTTACAGTGTGTTTGTTCCTTACCATCATTTCTCATAAAACATATGCTATTTTGGAAGACGTCTCTCTTACTGAATAGCAGCTGAGAACACAAACAAGTTCAGCTTACAGATGGTGCCAGGACCCACTGTAGTGTAATTTTCAAACAAGAAACTCTTTTTCTTAATGAAAAATGAGATTCTGAAAGGATGAAGTGAACCAAAATAGCTGCATTTTCCCCTATCGTGTTAAAGCTAATTTTTTTTTCTTAGTTTCTTTTTTTCATTATAAAAACCTATTTCTGTCAAATTGGAAACCTGCTGAACTAATAACTCTGTTGCTAACCAGTCTCTAATCGGATCTTTCTAATGAGAACTAAGGTGGGGTTCAATGTAAGTTGATTTGATTTGATTTTGAATAGTCACCATATGCATTCCATTTTTTTCTGTTCTATATTCATTGACGTGACAGAGAGAAACTTATTTCATTTCAGGGAAAGTAGCAGAATTAGTTTTATTCCTAAAACACTGACATTTAAATAAAGTATGTTTTGGTAATTGTCACAGCTCTTGCTCTGAAAATATAATAGTTTTATTTGTAGTGAGTCATATAGACCTTTACTACTAGTAAGAATATATTTACAAAAGAAAACATTTACCCTCACTGTCAAAAGCATCTGCAGTTTCCTCTTTGATTCACTTGGCATTGGGTCATAGTCCTCATTTCGCATGCTTTCTGGCTGCAGAATGTATCCAGTCCGTCCATTAAGTGAAAACAAGGCATGGTTTATTTGCATGTATTTATCTAGGGAAAGAATGAAATAGCCATGACAGTAGAGTTCCCCATTTTATTAAATCCAAAAGGACGACAAAGTATCAATTTGATGGCTCCTTAGTGCCATTCCCACTGGTTGCCACTTTCACAAAGACTAGGTGATGACTAATGTTTCACTTCAGTAATTAGAACTGATTGTCATTGGTCCACTGATTAGAAATCTGAAAGAGACACTTGGATTCACACTGAACTTCATATCAAAGCCAAGAGAAAATTCTGTCAAACCAGAAATGTTGTGAATTTCCAATTCAAACACATTTTCCCTTGCCAGTGAACTGGTCAAAATATCAATATAGTAACAAATACAAGCTGATATCGCTAGAGCTGTGCAAAGGGAAAAAGCTACTTTCAGAAAACATCTTGAGGTTTTGAAAGGAACAAAAATGGAACATTTCAAAATTCCCCATGAAAGAAAATTCTGCAATTTTTTTCCAGGTCAATCAAAACATTTCATTTTGATAAAATTGAAATATTTCGTTTAGATTCTGATCTTTTAAAAATAGTTTTATGATCATACAAAATTAAGAAACAAAATGAAAGTGATCTCAAAATGAAAAAAAATCTATACAATTCATATCCAAAAATGTTAAAACAGGAAATGAAATTCTTGTGCACCTGACACAATTTCATGAAGTGTATCAATTTTAATGGTACTGTTTATTCTGACACCAAAATTTCTCCAACCAGCTCATCTAGTATCTCTTGATCATTAAATTGAGTTACTCAGTTAACACAACACAGTACAATGTGAAGTAAGCATAGGCGCCGACTCCGTGGGTGCTCCGGAGCTGGAGCACCCATGGGGAAAAATTAGTAGCTACTGTGCACCCACCGGCAGCCAAGCTCCTCTCCCCACCCTACCCCTCACCTCCTCCTCCACCTTCTCCCCTGAGCGCGCCGCATCCCCGCTCCTCTGCCTACCTCCCAGCGTTTGCTGCTGCCAAACAGCTGTTGGCAGTGTAGCAAGCTCTGGGAGGGAGGGGGGAGGAGCGGGAACGTGGTGCGCTCAGGGGAGGAGACAGGGCTGAGATGGGGATTTTGGGCAGAAGTTGGAATAGGGGCAGGGAGAGAGCGGGGCAGGGATGAGATGGGGTGGGGCCGGGCCGGGCCGGGGGAAAAGGGGGGGGTCGAGCACCAACCGGCGCAAGTAGAAGTCAGCGCCTACGGAAGTAAGAGGGCCTGATCCTCAGCTGCTGTTAATCGGTGTCACTATCGAAATCAGTAGAGCTATGCTGATTTACACTTGTTGTGGTCGTACATGCCAGTCCAACACCCATTAAAGTTAAGAGAAAGACTCCACTATTTCAAAGGAGTTGGATCAGGTCCCACAAGTGAACTCTGCAGGGTGTATGGAGATGAATTTTCTGTGATCTGCCCAAGTAGCCAATCCACAGAGTCACAAGCAAACAACTCATATAGTTTCAATCCTCTCAAGCACTCACATTCCTTCTTCCATCTATCTTCCTGTTTTCGTAAGATATCAACCACAATGTCCAGGGTGGTGGAGAAACTAGAGGGGGAACTTCTTAATGGTCAATTGAAAGAATGAAAAACAAATTAAAGCTCCTCTTTATGAGAATGTTACCTGGGGTCTGGAAATTAAGAGACACCATCTGGGCGCCACAAAACCAGAGGCGAAATGGGTCATAGTTAGATGAGTCAACCCTCTGTCCTTTAGGGTAGACCCGCGTCAGTCCCTTTTGGTTGTATTTCAACAGCTCACCAGGCTTCTGCCTGACAACACTTTCAGCTTTGTTTTCCACAAAAGAACGGACTTCTCTGAAATCAGGATTTTCTACACAGAAGGAGGGGAGGAGAAAAAGGCAAAAAAAGGAGAAAGAAACCACCATTTATTCTCCATTTCCACTGGAGCCTTGCTTTACCTCACCCTTTAACACAGAATAATTGACTTCTTGTTAATGCACACACCGCAAGTTGAACATCAAGTCTGAAAATTAAAATAACCTGTCTGCCTGACAAGTTCTCTAACTGCTCATTGTGGTGGGACTGGATGAAGGCTACAGTGTTGTTCTCATCCCGTCACTGCTAATAATGCTCATTTGAGCACTGCAGCACATCCTTTCCTGTATGTAAGTGGAGGAATGGAGGGCAAGCCATGGTTAACACCTCAAATCTACCTTTACGGCTTACTGCAAGCATTCACAAAGAATCTTAAGCAGGAAGGGGATATTTGTTGGGTATTCCATGGATCTGGTTACAATGGCAAAAACCCAGCAAGTAATCAATTTCAGTGTCAATCCAGAAATTTTTACTGTTATTGCCCCACATTCTCATTTACATTAAGACATCTTCATGTCACTCCAGTAGCTTCAAGGGGTCTTATTGTAAGTGACAATCAGACTGTTACAGCAAAATATTACATAATGTAGAGCAAGTCTATTTTAGATTGAGTTTGTTCCACATTTTGTCCCAGACTTGAGCCTCGACAGGTTGAGATGTATGCTCAAAACAATTCTAATAACTCACTAGATTTTACCTGACACTTTATCATTTGAATACTATAAAGCTCTCTCCAGTGTACAATTCCAATTTGCCACTGAAAATCCTGCTGCATGAGCTCTCCGAGCTCTCCCAGTACAGAAAGGAGGTATTTTATTTTCAATTCTGAAATTTCAAATAATGTTTCTTTGAACTGGATTAGCATGCAAGCAGGCAAGGCGAAAATTATTATTAAAAATAAATCACCTAAATTGTCCTTGGATTTGCTTGTAGGTTTGCAGTAGATTACCAAGTCAGATAATTCAATGGCAATTAATTGATTCTTTTCCCAGTACTTCCTCCTAGTCTCCTGTTTAAGATTAAAAAAATATTTTTAGATTTCACATATGTAGAACATGATGGCACAATAAACTAGGACATATTCTAAAGAAAGGATGATTATGTTAAAATACTTCCAGCTCCCTGATTTCATATTTAACACTTCATAAATGCACTTGGATGTGACATATATTTAGGGCTTCTGTTTTTCAGGGTTTATTGATATAATTTTGGGTGTTCATTTTTAACAATTTTTTAGTTTTATGTAGGTTTCCAATAACTCGGGGTTTTCGGGTCTCTCACTTGTATACTGTAATGAGTAATGGATATTATCTTATATCCATTACTCATTACAGTAGTATATACTGTAACAAGTAATCTCTTTGTAATGTTCCCTAAGGCACTTTAACATAGTGCTGTTTCAAACAGCACTATATAAAAGCACACTAGGGAGCCTTTAGTGCACACCAGCAGGGTCTACATGGACCAATTAATGTACAACATCCTATTGTGCTTTAGGAATCACACTCCTGTAGTCCACATTACTGCTCTGTTTGGACAGGCCCTTAGAGGCAAATAACCATTTACAGTGTTTATCCAGTGTTTGCTGGATAAAAACACCTATTTCATTTTTTTAATGGGGGGAGGTGGTCTTTATTGGTTAAAACCTAAAACCAGAGGTCCTACATACACATTTATCCCCAATTCAAGAAAGCAGTTAAGCATGTGCTTAAGGCCCAGATTTTTAAAGGCATTTAAGTGTTGCTGCACTCAGTGTTGCAATACCTAATGGGTTTAGCAGTTTAAGTCTCGTTTTCAAAAGGGATTTAGGCACTCAGGTTCCTAAGTATCTAAATTAATTTTCAAAATGAGACTTAGACATTGCAAGTTGAGTGCAGCAACCGCCTCAATACCTTTAAAAATCTAGGCCTAAGCATTTTCCTGAATCGGAATCATATAAAGAAGCTTGGCAGCTAAATTACTGTTTTTATGTACATCCATATAAATCTAGCTAAATTCTTGACTCAACACCCTCATATAAATGCACAGACAAAAAAATGCAAAGCATAATGAAGTTTATCTCCATTTATTTATGATCTCGATCAGGATTAAGTATCTCTTGTGCCTCCAAGACTGAATTCCAGCTGTCTCCAAATGCAAAGCGCGCTGCTCCAGCAGTTCACTTTTTGCAAAGCAAGCCAGCGTTTCCAGGTATGAAAAAATAATTTACGATCAAACAGGCATCATTATGGAAAAGTCCATAATCTACTGCAATACTAGATGGTTTAAATCTTGGTGTTGTGGGAGCTGAATGAGGATACCTGCAACCCATTCAAATGGGAGTTGGGGAACCAGGCTACTCCTCACTTTGGCAGGCAGCAGCTATTCATGGCCATTCCTGGTGCAGATTAGAAGCCACTGAAGTCAATGAGAGCCCTGCATCAAGTGAAGGTAGAATTTGGCAGGAAGTGATCAAAATTACAAAAAAGATTCAAGAAGTGATTGCAGGATAGGAAGTATAAATGGAGTCACATACTGAATAGTTACTAGCTTCAGTACAAAAGGCTACAAAGCAGTAGGAAATAGGAAATCTCCAAAAGAAATTCTCACAACAGCAGGAGGAGGGAGGAAAACAGGAGCTGCAGAGAGACGTTTTTCCAGAAGCAATCACCAGACCAGAGACTGTGTGCTGTGGTCTAAGAAAAGCAAAGAGGAATTTAGTATTATGAACTGACATAGCCTTGGAGAAGTGCAGATATAAGCTATTACCTCTTTGTAATACATAGTGACCCACCACAGTGTAACATCCTAATAGACATACAGCTTTCACTTAAAAGCAATGTTTTCACGAGCAAAGGAGCATTTCCAGGTGCTGTAAACTCGTTCTTAAAAGTACACTTCTAAGGATAGCTAACCAGGAATGAATACCAACAATAATAGACTATTCCTAGGACACGGTTAGTGCCGGTATAAAACAGGGATGACAAAGTGGATAAAGCCCTGAGTTGAGAAGCTGAAGTGGGGGGAAATCTTCAGAGACCTGGAAAACACCCAGGTGAAGATAAAGTGAGGAATTCCAAACTGCAAATTATTACTAGCCGTATATAATAAAGTTATTGGCACAAGTAGGAAAGTGTTTTACAAATGTATACACTAGACAGCAGAGGTAGGAAGCAGGATTATGAAGAGGAGTTTAGGCAAAGGAGCTCAGATAGCACATACATTCGGGGATTTACTATAATACTTTTCAAGCTTGGTTCTCCACTGCCTTGCACAAGGCATGCCATAACTTACACCTGTGCTAAGTGGACGTAAAACACTACCATTATCATTTTTTAGTATATCCTATTTACTCTGCATAGATGCAGGCAACACCACAAGGCATAAAGCACTCAAGTCATCAACTTGAGGGAGAACTCTGCTGAAAGTGTTAAAATTCTCTTTGATGGCTGACGTTCTGCTAACTGTCCTGAGGTGCCTGAAAATTTAGAAAACAAGACCCAGATTAGTGAGGTGTTTTACTTTAACCATGTAAATAGTCGCACTGAAGTCAAACTGCAGAACCAAGTCCTGTAAAATAAATATGCAAGAGACTTCAGCGGTTCAGGCTTTAGTGAGGTTTGGGGAGCTTAAGTGGTTCTCAAATGGCCGAAGACTCATTATTTCCTAATTTTATAACTATCCATTGCAAAATAAAACAAAAATTTCCTTTTCTACTGGTACCTCTTCTGCAGTTTTCCGTGTGATTTCCCTGATGCCTTGGAACCATTCAAACAGCTCTTCCACCGTATCTGTTGCAAATTCAACCGGAGGGTCTTCTGGATTCTTGGGTTCCAGTACGAAGACAAAAGCCTTGCCATACTTCCCTTGCGGCATTTTCACTATTGGACAGCACAGTAACAACAGACACATACAAAAATGTATCAACTCTTTTAGTCTTACCTGCATGCTGTATGAATGGCTGGTTCAATGCAGCAGCCAACCATACAGATTTCCGCTATGATAAAATCTCTTGTCAGGCTGAATAGATAGCATCATCTTTCCTTCTCTAGGGGAAACAGCCCAAATAAAGGAGGAAAATCTAGGAATCCCGCTACAAGCTTCAGAGGCTACGTACCGACATTGTATGCATTGAGGACCAGTATGCCACGACACAGAGATCCTAAGGGGTTGTCCTCAATAATCTGTGAGGAAACAATGGGTTTAATTTGATTCTCTTAATCTTTTCCCTTTTTAATCAGTAGTCACAGGATGCATAACAAAAATTAAACACAAAGTTAACCGCCTATAACTGCCCACAGTGTCATGGAGAAACCGTCAAGGGCTCTGTTTAAAAAGTTCACTTTTAGTGAGAGGATCTCTCATTATGGATGAAAGATGTCTAGTGAGGCTGGGAATAACCCTGGTTCATCTGTGGGTCTTCAATTCAACCGGTTCACTGTATTTTGACTATTACATTACAAAGCTACTGTCCTAGCATAATTACTCATTTTTAAAGCTTTCCTTTACAATACCAGAAAAACCAAAGTGTTCATATAAATTTCCCCACACACACCCAAGGCATCACTGATCTGAGGGTTCATCAAACATTTTATTTTAAAAAACCAAAAGGATTCATGCAATTTAATAACTGCCTACTCAGACTTTTGCTTTCATTTGTTAGATTAAATTGCTCTTTGTCAAAGACTCTGGAACACATTTTCACATGCTTTTGGCTGGCACAATTGGTTCAGTTACCTACTGGGTAACAGGGTGTGAAAACAGCTAATTAGATGCATTTGTGCATTCCGTTTTCCCATTTCCAAAAACCATTGCAGTAACTATGTTGGCAAATTAAGTGCATATGTGGGGCACATAATTGTTCCACATATCTATCTGAAAATCTGACCATGTACAGAAATTCCTTACTTAACGTTGTCCTGGGTAGCGTTGTTTTGTTGTTACGCTGTTGATCTATTAGAGAACATACTTATTTAAAGTAGAACAATGTTTACTTATAACGTTGTTTGTCCGTGGGGGCTTGGAACCAGGGTGGGCCGGCAGCCCCCATCAGCTTCCTTCCACACCCACACCCAGCACCTCCCACCCACCGGCAGCCCCATGGATCAGCAACTCCAAGATCAGCTGTTTTGTGGCATTCAGGAGGCTGGGGGAGGGGGAGGGAGAGGAGTGAGGATATGGCATGCTTTGGGGAGGGCAGTGGAGCAGAGGCAGGAAGAGGCCGGGGGTGTGGAGTGGAGGTGGGCCTGGGGCAGAGCTGGGGGGTTGAGTAGCCCAGCACATTGGAAAGAATAGCAAGAGGAGCAGCCAGACGATCCACCCTCTTTCACCCTCTGACTCCACCACCTCAACCAAGCTTCACAATCATCACTGCTGAGTACAGTATTAAATTAATTATTTGTTTAAAATTGTTTAAAACTTATACTGTATATGTATATAATGTCTTTTGTCTGGTGAAACAAAATTTTCCTGGAACCTAACCCCCCCATTTATATTAATTCTTATGGGGAAATTGGATTCGCTTAACATCGTTTCGCTTAAAGTCGCATTTTTCAAGAACATAACTAGACTGTTTAGTGAGGAGTTACTGTATGCTAATCTTTAGCCTGCAGGGAATTGCTTATAACACACCCCGTCGATACCTCTCCCCAAATGCAGTTCCATTAGGAATAACCTGCCAAACAAAACTAGTGGCATCAAGGACAGAAGACAATTGTGTCTGCACAGCCCCAAGGACGGCAAACACTATGTGTACTTTTCTACTCTATGCTAAGGCTGCATCATGCACAACATATAGTTATAATCCCATGAATGAGAGAAACCAACTCAGTGTGCAGAGGGCAGCATCGTGCTAATGGAAGACATGAACCAAACCCTGAACTCCTCACCTGGCTTTCAAGGTCTGCTAAGTTATCAGCTGACATGTCTTCAACGTAATTAGATGGAAAATAGTGTTGGACTTTTTCTCCATAGTCTCCTTGCCACCTGAAATTTAAAAATTTAAAAAAGAGACAACTGAAGACCTTCAAACACAGACCATTAATTAAGCAATAATCTTCAAGAAATTGGTCATTAATACCCAAGACCAGCTTGCTAGTTGGCTATTGCCAAAATAAAAGTGATGAAGCAGCTAAAAGCTCTAACAAAGAGATCATTAACTGTGGTAGGTGATTTCAAAGGGATTGCAGCTATTGCAAACTGCAGTTAATGACTTAAGGAGCTTCCCCTCCAGCACTAAACACTTTTATGTGGTTGATTGCTTCGTGGAAACAACTAGAGGACATTAGATTCCTAAGCATTCCAATCAATTTATAAGCCAGGTAGGAATGAAAACTTGTGGGCAGATACTCAGAGGATGGAGATAACCTAAATCCATTTTGGTTTTCAAGGGGTGTTGTGCAAAGCATGGAGAGGGATGCTCCACTGACCCAGGGTTAGCCTTTGGAGGGTCTCCTGCAAGAAGTGGGTTTTTGGGAGGGATATGAATGGGGAAAGGAAGCAGGCCTGACACCCTGAGATAGGGAGGCTGTACCAAGCATAGGTTCTTGGTATCGGGGGAAGGTACAGATATGACAGTGGGAGAAAGCAATGAAGGGAGCGCTGAGGCTGCAATAAAGGGTGATCATCAAAAGAATGTGGGTAGCAGCAAAAAATCAAGCCATGCCATACTTGGAACCACTACTGCCAGCTGTTCCAGAGAGCAGCACTGATTTCCTTCATAGCAGAAGTTTTACTATTCCCAGTGGAAGATTTTTCCCCTGCCCATTTCTCTCCCATTTCCTTCGAGGGCTAGCAATGCCACTACCTAGGAGAGACGGATAGGACTACTTTCAGATCCCATCAACCTCATTATTGGCTTGTCCACAATGCAGTTACCAAGCGATGCAAGTCACTCCCTCCTGGTAAAGACAGTGACCCCTGCCCCTTCCATCCCAGACAGCAAAGGACTGGCTAGGACTCAAACCTGGATGTCACACAGCAGCAGAGAGCGCTATCCACATGGTCACTCCTCTCAAAAGCTCTTTGACAGTTACCAAACACTTTACAGTACTTCTTGTCAAAAAGCCAGGCAGGAACAACGTGTGTCAAGGTGGGAAGGTGAGAAAAGTAAAAGGGGATTTTCTTTCTTCATCAACTTCTGGGATGTATAAGGAACAGTGGCTGGGTCAGAAGCAGAGATTTTAAGAACCCCTGCACAAAGCTGAATTCATTTCCTCATCACATACACTCTGTGGCGGCTCTTCTACAAGGAATCACTCTCCTTACCAGCCTCCTGATTCCTTTGTGACGTTATGAATTAGGGCCCCTCTGCAGAAGCTCAGTTCATCACTTCTCTTAGCTTTATAGTCATATATGGCTTTCACTGTTCTCTGAGGCTGTAAAAAAAACAAAATAAAAGGGTCAGAGAGAGGGACAGGTCACAAAATGATCAATAAATCCATCTCAAAAGAAAAAAGATCTTTCTTTATTAGACTGGGTAAGCTTAACTCTAAGGTTCCAGAGTGACATCTGCTGGTGTAAGGAAGTGGCACTGTTTAACCAGTATTCTTCAAACACCAGCCAAAAGAGTACTTCTTTTGTGGATGCATGGTTATTCTACACAGAGAACCGTGAGCTATCATCCCTGCTCACATACACCCAGATACAATCTGAGCCTCAGGGTTTGGGATGCGGTCTCTCTCTCTTCAGGGTATGCATCAGTCCTATCATCCCCTTCAAAACCTCATCAACAATACTACAGAATACATTTCCTCTAGGAAACCCAAGTTTCTGTCAGGACAAGCAATTTCCTTATCTTGAAATTTACTTCTACCTGAATTCTTCCACAGTAATGCACAATCATTAGTCACGAAGGGAAAGAATTACAGCTGAATGTGCATTTACAGCCAAGATGGCTTTTGCGAGAATTACAGCTAAATATGTATTTACCATGCCATTTTTGTTTAACATTTAAAAACATGCATAATAAAAGAAATTTTAAAAGTTCAATACTGTATAAGAAGTGTGCAAGACTGTCCACCTTCATTTGCATGCAAAACCCTGCACAAGTAATCATTTTTACTCGGTGCATATATGTAGGTTCAAATTTCCAGGCACATCCACACAAGCATTCATGTGAAAATCAGAATCACCTATGCACACTGAGAAGCCAGCTGCTCAATTTCTTGTCTGCATGAGTAAATACTAGCTTTGCATATAGAAAATGTGTAGGGAAAAATTATACCCCTCTTGAGTTTTACCTTCCCCCACAAGCCAGATACAAATATTGAAAAGTGTGATTGAAATTAACAGAAAAATCAACACAAATGTTCTGACATCTTTTCAGGCACTACAGGAAGGTTTAGTTCGAAAAACCACTTGAACGTAAACATACCACTGATGGGGTTATTTCATTAGGCTCCACATACATCTTGACATCATAGAGCGCATTAATATCTTTCTCCTAAAAATGGAGAGGAAAAAGCAGTTAAGAAAATATATTTTAAATCTACAACAGGACTGTTCTACAGAGTGGGGGATCCTTATGTGCTGTACACACGTATCTACAGTATCACTTCAGCAATTCAGAAACTGTGGGGTTGACCAGAGCTAGGAGTCCCGACTTCTATTAGAGGCCCATTTCTATCACTAGCTCATCATGTAGCCTTGGGAAAGTCGTTTAACCTGCCTATGCCTATCTTTAATCAAACAGTAGTAGAACCACACCACCTCACAGAAGTATCACTTAATTCATTAAATGCTTGTGAAGAACTTGGAGAGGCTGAGGGAGATTATGTGGAACTGAAAAAACTAGCAGGTGGTGCTATGGATTTGGTTCATAATCACTGCAGGTCTCCTAGCTTTTCTTTAACAGACAAAAAACTAAGCTGCAAAGAGCTGCTTTGATGTACGCGGTTACTTTTTTTCCCCTGGGAGGGGGGAGGGAGGGTTGGAATTTTATCCTCCTTCACCTCCTACTACTACGGAGGAGGGTGTTTATCTTTCACTGAATCACTTCATTACAAAGGTAATCACTTGCCGTGCTGTAGCGCTCTAGCAGTTCCTCAGTCACAGGGTAACGCAGTTTCATTTTCCTGTACAGCGTGTGCTTTTCGTAGTAGGTCACCAGTTCAACTAAGCTTTCAAAATAGGCAGAGGTGCCCAGCACAAAGAGGCGGCCTTCTTGTTGAATTCTGAAGTGCTTCACTTTCCCCTCAGCTCTGTGGAATTAGTACAGGTGCTGTGATACTTTAAAAGTCACTGGGGCCTAACACAGTAAAACCTCACTTACCATGGACTGTTACCATTATCCCTTGACACATGTAAATGTATTAAAAAGTTCTGCACTTTTCCAAAGCCTCATTTATCCAAATTAATTTCAGGTTCCCCCATTCAATTCACAAATAGAACGGATTCAGGAATTGTCTTTCCCATCTCCAATATGTGGAGCATTGGAAATATCCTCATTTTTTTCCTGTTTTCGTTTGCCCACTAACCCTCACACTCCAGACTCCTCTCAGCTTCACCAGTCATCTAGCCAAAAAGAATTTATCTGGACTAAGATTCTCTTTGGAAGCCTGTCACTGTCAATCACTTAAGTGACAAGAAGCAGTCTCCCCAGAAACAGTGGCTACTTTATCCCCATAATGCTTCTGATAGCCACTACAATCTACTTTTAAAGGAAAAATTCCTCTCAACTTGAAAATTTTTTGAATTTTTGGTAATCACTGTAAAAACCACCACCCAACCACTTTTCTATACATGGAAGATACCTACAAAATTTCCAGACCTACAAACTTTTCTGGCTATGAATTGTTTTCATAAGGACATTACTGTCTAGAATCCATAATGGACTTTAATACCCTATCTTCCCAATAGGAGAAAGATGAAACTAGAGCTCACTGCTGACTTGAGAAGTCTGAAAATCTTCAATGTAAAGTACATAAATAAAAGACAGCATGTATCTGCTCTCCAAGACAATATTCTATACTGCATTAACAGACACGATTGAAGAAACTTAATATGATTCAAAATTGCAATAGAGTACATTACAGTTCTTATAAACACACAATTTCAATAAGAGAAACTGTTGTTATAAAGCAGTTGCTATTAGCAAGGATACTTAACAGCAGACAAATGGCAACTTTCGTTTTTAGTGAGCTGCATAATGTAACAGATGCTGAATGAATGAACCTCAAATTATTATGCAACTTAACTAGGTTTCCTCTGGTCAGAGACCTGGGATCTGTAGTGCTGATCCGGCACAGAGAACTGCACTGGCATACAGCTTCACAGAAGCCAAGAAAGGTCCACACACGCACTACAGTATGAGATATCCTGGGCCAAGTTTTTAGCCATACTCAAAATTATCCACTCCATCCATACGTGCACATATATTTTGCCCATGCATCCACTTATGTGTGCACATCAAGAAACTGTGTGGCTAACTACCTAAGCTGCAAGAGCAAACTCAGATTTTATACATGCAAAAGATACAACAGGAAGATTTTAAATGTTCAGAACCAGAGAGCATGAATGGCCCTATATGTTAGAGTCATAGAATATCAGGGTTGGAAGGGACCTCAGGAGATCATCTAGTCCAACCCCCTGCTCAAAGCAGGACCAATCCCCAATTTTTGCCCCAGATCCCTAAATGGCCCCCTCAAGGATTGAACTCACAACCCTGGGTTTAGCAGGCCAATGCTCAAACCACTGAGCTATCCCTTGCACAGTCACATGTGTCTTCTCTTACCTGAATGTCATGGCAAATGAATCGGGCTCATCTCTCTTTCTAATCAGAAACGCTCCATCTCGAGGAATTCGCATCAACATGTCTTCTGCTTCTCCTCGACTCAGGTTACGGTAGTACCAGCTACAGTAGAGGGAAAGAAAATGGACAAGCGATTACAAAGCTTGTCAAAGTGTCACTCAGTAAGAATAACTGGCGGTGTTACTAGAATTATAGCCTGAGACATTACAAGATAAATTATACATTAGATTTTCCTCATCATGGCACATATGACAGCATCTTAAAGCAAAATACTGTAACGCATCAGCTTATTTTGGGTAAAACCATCAGGAAAACATCAGAACACCTTGTCTGCTTATAGTAATATAACATAAATCAACTTGTCTCCATAGAACAGTGGCAGATGCTGCTTTATCTGTTCATAACCAAATGCCAGACAGGAGCCAGAGTTTTGACGTGGAAGATTTTAAGGAAGAGTCCAGATATGGGCTAGGGAAAAACAGCAGACATTGGATACTTCCTTAGGACCAGATTCTGTCTCTCACAAGTACTACTCAAGGTGAGTAACAATGGAAGAATCTGGCTCTTAATGAGCACCAAGGGGGAGAGCTACAGCTGATGTAAAATGTTCTCGCTCCATTGATTTCAGTGGAGCTAGAACAATTTACATTAGTTGCGGTGGTGTAAAAACAAAATCAGCTGAGTCCCAGCAGGCATCCTCAACTCACACCGACTTCAAAAGATATCTCAGGATGTATAGGACCGTACAGAACCAGGGACCAGACCATGAAAACTGTCGAAAGTCATGGACATAAGTTTTGAACACAAAATAATCTCTCTTTTTCCATCTGTAGACCAAACAATGGACCAAAAGTTCACATGGTGCACGAACAGTAACTTCTGAATTCCCCAAATTCGTTGCAAGATCACAGGCAACAACTCAACACCTAACCCTACTTGCTGAGTTCTTTAAATTATCAAGCAAAGAAAGAGAGCAGGGAGACGAAGGACTTGGTACCCTCTGGGTGAATTGCAGCTTTCACTGTTTCTCTGAACTCAGTATAGTTACCAGTGAGCACCTGCTTTACCATTAGCCCCCCATGAAGCCCAGAGTAGAAGCTGAATCTTTCAAGGTTCTGAGAAATCAATGAAGTTTATTCCCATGACAGCTGCTACCAAAGTGTTCCTGAATGCATGAAATCCATGGCCATAAATGACAACAAAAAGTTCCACCCTTTAACACAACCCAAGCACTTCCCTTCATCTGTACATACTCTTTAGTTTCATGAGGTTTGGGGTTAGGCACAGCATCAGTCAGACGCAGCTCAAACTCGGCACATCGCAAGTGGGCTTCCTTGTAGTGTTGAACGAGATCATAAATACTATCAAAGGTGAGGTTGTCGGTCAGGTAATATTTCATGGTATCTCCTTCACTATTAGAACGGATACGGCAATGCTGGACCCTACCTGACCTCCTTAAAAAATGAAGAGGGAGGAAAAATAACAGTTAATAAAGATGGACATTTAGGATGTTATCTAACTTGTTCCTGGTTAATTCTAGTTTGTGAGTTTATAAAGTCACAGCAAATCATGTTCTTTCTTTAACAAATAATAAGATTGTTGGGAGTTGTTCTTTTCAACCTACAGAGTTTCAGATGTCGCAATATGCATCACTGTAGAATTAGCGCAGAAGGCTCTCTCACCAGTAGATCTGATATACTGTTATTTATAACTCCAGACTGGGAAAAATTAGGCAAAATCTTTTATTTTTTCCCCTATAGGGACATCCTCTTTTATCAACAAGATCAAACTCTGCCAAGGGAAATGAACTTGGGAAACGAACTTGGGAAACTATCTGCTCAGCTTGGAAACCGATGATTTACACCAGTGCAAATTAAATACAATTTTGGCCCACATATTGAAGAAATATTGTAACAAACCCTTCATGCTCCTATAGCTTTAGAGAAGTGGAAGATTAGACCAATTAGACCTCTATTATCTATTCCAATCAATGAACATAACCCAAATGGAGCCCAATCATGCCTAGGAACGTTAGACTAAATTGCACCTTGTGACAAAGCTCTGTCCTTGCCTCCATGGGTCCTGCATTTCCTGGCGGATTTCGCTAGCCTCAGAGGCTCACTGTGACCCTCGACGTAACCCTTCTCTCTCTAGAGACAAGGGTCACAGTCTACTGAGCCATTTTCATCATAAGCCAGCGAGGGAGGTGAGGAGAAGTTATCCTTCCTTGCACAGTCTCTGTTGTCTCCCAGTCTCAGTGATTAATCGGGGGCAAAGGTGGAAGGGAAGGGGAGCCCAGGCCCACCCTCTACTCCAGGCTCCAGCCCAGGGACCCTAATAGTATCAGCTATGGTAGCTGACTTTTTAGGAACATGACATGTACAATTCCCTGGGCTACTTCCCCCACAGCAGCCCTTACTTCCTCAAGCTCCACTTCACCCTTACCTCAGGGCCTCCTTCTTTGTGCCTGATATGGTGTGTACTACTCAATCTCTCCAACAGCACAACTTCCTCCCACAGCTCCTGACATGCACCCCCACCTGACTAACTGGGGGGCTTTCAACTAGTTTCAGCCAGACCCTGATTGGCTTCAGGTGTCCCAATCAACCTAGCATTCTCCCTGCCTTCTGGAAAGTTCTTAATTGGCCCTGGAGCAGCTGCCATTTCACTTATCCTGGTACCAGGGATTTGTTTAGCCTGGAGCTAATATATCTATCTATCTCCCACTTTCCATTTTCCATAGCCATCTGGCCTTACCCCGTCACAACCTTAATTAAAAAAGTGTGATCTTTCCACAACTGCACTAAATCCCCCACTCCTACTTCCTCCCATAGCAGCTGTAAAATCATATTTTCTAAAAAATATATTCTTACACAATATAGTAGAATAAACAACACCAGTATCAAAAAAACAGCCATACCAGAATGACAGGGTGTAATCATTAGGGAAAGTTTCGCTTTCCCTAACTAGGAATGTTCCATCCTTGCCACCCATTTCAGCACAATATTCCTGGATCAGCCTCTCAGCAGTTGTTCTCCCCTCTTTCATTTTCCCATGGAACCATTTCTCGCTGCAGTGCAGCTCAGTATGTTTCACCTCCTAGATCACAAGAGAAGAGCTCCCATTTTTAACTTATATTTTACCATGATAGTAAAGGGTTCTGTCTTGGTTAAAAGGACTTCTACAATGGTAGGTCAATTTTCTAGCTTCCTTGAACTTTCAATACCCTTAAAAAAAAGGAATATTTGTCTAAAATCTGAAGTATGGTTTGCTGTCAAACGAAAAACAAACTATTAGACATGTGCTGTGGGGGGTTATGGCTATTGTGCACCTTTTCTTAATATTCCTCAAAAAGTTCTGTGTCAGGATTTTCACATTCCCCTTTCCTCAGCATGGAGAGGTTTATTATGGTTATAACGTGCATTCAGGTAATTCAGATCACTTTTCAGGTTACTTAAGCTCAAAAGATTTTCACCTTCCTAGACTTGTGCAAGTAGTTATGATCTGTGGCCAGAAATTTAAAGAAAATACTCTTATAGATCAGAGCATCTTCTATTTTAGGGTTTTTTGACAAGAGGATTTTAGCTAATCACAGCCCTGAATAATCATATATGGCCCTCCCACCATTAAAACCTGCATGAACAGGTGATCTGGCTTGCATGTGGCGGAACTGTGCATACAGATGTTAGTGATGAAAGAGCGCACATGCAAACTTCCATGTTGACAGGTGGAAGCCAGGTTGAGGCATCGCTGAAATTCCAGCCCTTACTGAGTCCTGTGCCTCAGCTTTAACATCTATAAAATGGGGATAATAACTGGTCATCTCTTAAAGACCTTTGGATGACAAGTGCTAATTCCAGAGATGTGCTGTCAAGCCAGAGAGCTTTAAAGATTGGGAGCGCAGTGAAATACACAAGCAGTGGAAGCCAACTACCTAGTAAAGAAACTTTTCTGACTTATTTAGAGATCAAAGGTCATTTTAAATGGCCCACTCTCCCATCGTACCAGTACTTTCAAGTTAGGCATTATGTTTCTCAACTTTCTAGCAAACTGTCTATACAGAAAGATAACTTTAGTAGAAGCGATGGCACCTGGTCAATTAGGAAACAAAAACATTATAATTAATGGGTTTCAGAGTAGCAGCTGTGTTAGTCTGTATTCGCAAAAAGAAAAGGAGTACTTGCAGCACCTTAGAGACTAAACAATTTATTGGAGCATAAGTTTTCGTGAGCTACAGCATCCGATGAAGTGAGCTGTAGCTCACGAAAACTTATGCTCAAATAAATTGCTTAATCTCTAAGGTGCCACAAGTACTCCTTTTCTTTTTATTATAATTAATTTATATCAATCTCTGCAGACAATTTTCCTAACCAAAAAATGTCCATATGTGATACACTGGGAAAAGGACCATGATCGACAAATTATCCCAGAGGAATGGGGATTGATCTGGAAATGAGGGCCCGCAACCTCAGAGCAACCAATAAAAGAAAATTTCTTTAAGATACTGTTTCAATGGTACCTCGCACCAATCAGGTTAATATATGTTGAACAGGAATACATGTTGGAGAAATTATGCTGAAGAAGGAGGTTTTATGCATATGTGGTGGATCTCTCTGGTCACCTAAGTTCCCTCTAAGCTGCGCAGCCATGCATCAGCCTATCAAGGGCCACACAGGTGCTCACGGCTGCGGCGGGGAGAGGCCCATCTCCCGCAATCCCAGCCCCAAACCTGCCATGGCAGGGAGAGGCGTGGAAAGACCCTTCTCCCCCGGCCACAGCCCTGGAGCTGCCGCAGCAGGGAGAGGCACCTCTCTCCCCCACCCCAGATGCTGCTGCGAGGAGAGGCGCCTGCACTCCAAACCCCTCATCCCTGGTCCCAGCCCGGAGCCCGTACCCCCAGCTTGAGCCCTCGCCCCCCCTGCACTCCAATCCTCTGCCCCAGCCCTGTGCCCCCTCCAGCACCCTGAACCCGTCATCTGTGGCCTCACCCCAGAGCCCACACCTCCAGCCAGAGCCCACCCCTTCCCCCCCCCGCATCCCAACCCTCTGCCCCAGCCATGACTCCTCTCCCACATTCCGAACCCCTTGGCCCCACCCCTGCCACACATCACGTCCATAACAAAATTCATTCCGCACATGCATGGGAAAATGAGAGGAAACATTGCCAGTCACTAGAGAGTATTGGGATGCAATCCATAACCAGATATCACAAACTATTAGATATTTATTCCCAAATGATCCTTTGGAAATTCTCCTGGGGATTTCTAGTGGAAATGGTCACACAAAAGGAAATGAAAAATTAACCTCTCTTTTGTTAGGAGTTGCACAGCTATCAGTAATCTCTCACTGGATAAGAAAGACAGTCCTACCATAGAGGAACAGTTAAAACAAATGAGAGGTTGTTGCTATGGGAAAATTAACAGACCGATTGTGAACCAAGGAAAATAAACAAAGATAAATAATAAACTTAGATATTTGGTTATCTTTTATTCAATACTCAGGCAAAGTAGATTCACCTGCAAACAAACCAGTACACTTGTCTAATTGTTTTGAATATTAACAGTTGGTAGTCTTGCCTGGTCTGTTAAATACGCATAATCAGACATTTCACTCAGTTTCATAAAATCACTAGAAACAACAATGCATCCGATGAAGTGAGCTGTAGCTCACGAAAGCTTATGCTCAAATAAATTTGTTAGTCTTTAAGGTGCCACAAGTACTCCTTTTCTTTTTACATGTTATAGGTGTTATAATGATGCTTATTCTGAAATATGGTAACACCCTGCTAGAGAGATCTGATTACCATATTCCTGTGTAATGCCTCTTTAAACAAAAGCACACTGTTGTAATGATTATTGTTTTGTGTCTGATATTTACATAATAAAGATTTCTAAACTTGTTAATGCTTCCAAAACAAACAGTAAAAAGAAAAAAAAAGGTGTGTTGTGTTATGTATCATTATTTAATTAATCATTTTTTGTTTAGTCCTAGAATAGGAATAATATCCTGGCAGACGAATATACTCACAATAAAGCATTTGACTGTTGTTAAACACACCTGTTTCAGCACTTAACTGCCCACAAGCAATTTCACTGTCTCGTATGCTCGTCTACACTGAACATTAACCATGCACTAAAGATATTTTGTTTTATTGAAAACTGGGTTATCAAAGTGCTTAATAAAGACCCAAATTTTCATTAAGTGACCTCTGCAGGTGCACCCAATTATCTGGCACAGACCCTCCACTGAACAATTGTACGTGCAAATGATTTGTGAATTGCAAACAAATGCATCTGTAAACACTGCAGGGGCAGTTTAAGAGGATGAATTTGACCGTACATGTTAAAAAGCTTCATGTAAAACTCATCTCCCTTTGGTTTTATATTAAAGGGAGAAAAGAATATTTTATTATTCTCTTGATGTGAGCACGTAATTCCCATTGGCCAAGAGATAAGGAAGAATGACACTCCCTTAGACAGTGTAATTCTTCCTATATACCAGGAGTGGGCAAATTTACTGACCCTCTGAGCCCCATATGACAATCTTCAGAAGTTTGAGAGCGAGGGTGCACCTGCCGGGGCTCAGGGCTTCAGCTCCATGGGAGGTGCCTGCCAGGACTCCGGGCTTCAGCCCCCCTCTGCGCAGGGCAGAAGGCCCTACACCCCCCTCCGCACTGCAAGGCAGAGGTCCCGAGCTTCCCTTCCCACCCCACCCCCAGTCCGGTAGGTGGAGAATGGGGGGAAGAGGGGGGCTCCGTGAGGCACACTTTAATGGTAAAAAAGAGCCACATGTGGCCCATGAGCCGCAGATTGGCCACCCCTGGTATATAATTAAGTATTCAAACCAGACAGGAGTTGTATTTAATACTATGAAGTGAGTAACCCCACATCATTCTGCACTGCAATTCCCTTTAAACTTATTCCATATAAGCAGAAAAGAACTTCAGTGCACCTCTCCTTTTTTATTCAGAAACCCATAGTGGTAGAATTCTCTATTTGGCTTAAAGCAGAAGTGAGGAAGATGGAAATGTGTTCGTTTCTGGAAGTTTGGGATAACAAACTAGATGATTTTTAATTTCTCCAGCCTAATGAGGACACTAAAATACATTTAGCTAGTTTTTACCAAGGGATTAGAGTAACAGGAATAAACTTAACAAACAACAAAAAGCCCAGTAATCACCTTTGACGAATCGTCATCAGCGTTCTGTTCTATATCATCACTGAACGAGAGCTTTTCATCTGCTATAGCACAATAGTGCCGAGTCCATGTCTAGAAACAAAGACAAGTGTTAAAACTGTTAACACAAGACGACAACTCTATCCATAAAATTAAAGAGATAAAAATAGAAACTCCTAACCACCACCAAGAAGCTGTAATAATAAGTAGTAATTTAACAATGTAACATCTTACGCAGCGTCTCTTTTCCATACTCACATTGGGTCAGCTAAGAGCAAATATTTTTCCCTACTGCTATTGAGAATGCTCATTTAAATCTCAAATGCTAAAGAAATTAAAAAACCTTGCAACAAACTGCAGCAAATATCTAGGAAATAATACCTGTTCTATCGTATCCCACATGTAGAGTTCTCCTTGTTGCTTTTTCTCCTCTTTCTTGTCTTCTGGGTTCGTATCTATGTCTCCCTTTGGTCCCAATTTTTTATGCTAAAAAATATAAATAAAAATCATACGTAAGCCTGGTCAGATCACCTTGGCACATCTTGGTAATATTATCTGACACACCCCTCCTCTCGAGCGTCTCTCCTTTGTTTGGACATTGAGAGTGGAGGCTACATGCAGGCTTAAACATTAGTTTTCCCCACTGACTGCAAATTTAACCTGAGGGTTTGTCTGCATGGTGAGTTAGTGTGCACCAAGCCAGGGTGCGAATCGACAGTGCACCAGCCTGTCACACACTGGACATTGCTACAATGCAATGAGAACCACACACGAGGGCTTGCACTGCACTGTAGCAATGTCCACACAGAGTCATTAAGGTTCAGCATGCTGATGTGCTATAGATTTACACCCTGGCAGTAGCTCACCATATAGATGAGCCAAGTGCTCCTCTAACTTCCTGACAGCAAGTTTCAAATGAGGGAGACAGAGGATCAGTTACTCTGATAAGAGTCCACAATTCATTAGAGAAGACAGAAAGTTAAGTGACCTTTATATGGCAAGGAAGGAATGAAGATAAAAGAGGAGTAGTTGTCAGACCTCAAGGTGAAGAGAAAAAGAACATGAGTAAAAGGACAGAAATTAAGGAGGAAACAGGAAAAGGACTATAAGAAGGAAACAGGGGTGATTATTTCTCAGTGTGACCAAATCCTGCTTGCTTCTCCACATAGGGATATAAAGCCCTAACCTCTTTAGCACCACTACAATACTACTGTGCAAGGGTAAAAGGCCACATGCATGCCACAGAGAAGTGTTCCATGGCAGATCTCTCTAGAGCAGTGGTGGGGGTGAGGGGGGGAGAATACTGGGAGGATGAAGGTGGGGACTCAGGCATGATGTGGGCACTTTAAGGGCACAGCTAGTGGATCTGTAATTACAAAATCCCACCTACTGGGAGCAAAGGAACTACATGGGTGCTCACAGATGGGGGAGGAAGAGGATTCTTGTTGTACAAATATAGACATGAAGCTTTTTATTTTGTTCAGGGGACCAAGTTTTGGCTGATGGAAAGTACATGCAAAGCATATGCCAGTACCCTGGAGAAGAGAGTTTTCAGCTTGTGTGTAATCTCAACTATGATATATGGAACGAAGTCCTCAGCTATAATGAAAAAAGATACAGCAAAGATTCAGAGCATCCCTGTGTGACACGGAGATATATTGTAAAGGGATAGAACAGGACTGCACAAATAGAAAACGAAGTGAAGACCTAACCAATGTGACTGATACTCCAAAGAAGGTTAAACAGATGAAATGGCAGTAGATGCAATATTTTATGACAGGAGTTTCTGAAAGAGGAACTGGTCAGGGCATATGATGCACAAAGTAGACAGGAAGGATTCTTACTAGAGCTGGGCAAAACTTTTCGACCATTTTCTCATCAAAAAAATGTAGATTTGATTACACTGAAATGTTGCATGAATTTGTGTTGACTTTGCCAAATTGTTTCAGTTGGGAAAAGAAAAATCTCAGAAAAAAATCAAAATGTTTCATTTTGACATTTGTTTAGAGACGAAAAGTTTCAATTTTCTAGTTCAAAATTACTTAATTTCAAAATTTCCTTTAATTTTATTTTTAAAAAATCAAAATCATTTAAAAATGGTTGAAATCAAAATGAAACGTTTCAATTTTGCTGAAATGGAATGTTTCATTTGACACAAAATTATTTTTTTCAACTTTTCAATTTGCTGGGGAAAAATATTTGCCTTCACAAAAGAATTATTTTCAGTTCAACCCACATTCCAACCCCCCCCAAACTGCCAGTGATCTGAAAAACCTGTTATGCCAAGCTATAGTTCTACCCTCAGTTTCTTATTTCAGGACAATGCCGTTCATTTTTGTAATTAAATTTTGCCAAATATTTATTCTTTAAAATAGATTAACAGTGTTTGCATTAAATCCACTTGCTTTCAAATATTCTAGTATCCAGATCCAGTCTGAAAGAAAGGACACGTGCCTTGATGACGAATTTTTCTTTCAGCTGGGTTGGCGACGGCAGCTGATCTGCACTGACTTCGATTGGCTTCATTAGGAGTTGATTCCCAAACACCTCCTTGAATACTTTGGCCATGTGGCGCTGCTGTTCCACACTGCAGTGCTCTTCAATCGACAGGATCACTGGGAACCTTGGTAGAAGGGAACAGAAAGGCAGAGGCCGCATTCAATTTCTGCATCTAAAAAAGCCAGGGAAGGGGAAAAAAAATATCCAAAGCAAACTGAGGACTGAGTGGCTCTGGGGCAAGTCCACAGACGTACAATCACTGGGTCGCACCACCACCACCAAACATGAGCAGTGTGAGGAAGTGTCACTGCAGTCCTCGATACGTTCACCATGCTGATGGTTTGACACGTCTGAAGCACGGGGACCTCTATGTGCACTGTACATGGTTAGCTGAATGTCTATCCATGGTGAGGATACCCATGCAGCTCAGTAAGCCAACCACAGAAAAGAGGCTTGGAACACCCTGAATATTAAGACATGCCTTTTCTTCATTATCGAGCTCCCAAAATCCCATCCAGGAAGTGTTTCCAACCAAAATAATGATGTGCCGGATTGCGGCTACTGAGTACAGGCTCAGACTCATGTAGACGGCAACAACCCCAGTGGGAGCTTTGGGAAGTACGTCATCTCCTAGATCTCCTAGCCTGTCCCACCCACAAGAGGGTGAAATTTGTTCTCTCCTCTATGGCCAGCCAGTTACCTTAGACGGTGAGGAGTAAAGGATTCTGCAGCCCCATCTCCCTCCTATCCCTTCCCTGCCGACAGATAACACTTTTCCTATTAAAGCTGTTTTAATGAAGGGCCTGAAGAGGAGAGAGCTGAGACACTGCTGCAGCCCATGTTACCACTGCAGGAAGCATGAGCAGGGATTCCCCATCTCCTCAGCTGCAACCTCATCTACGACGGTAAGTTTGGGACTATGAGCTTCCCTCTCACTAATGCTCTGTCTTCCACTTCTCGTATTTTTAAAAATCACACTTATTAAAGTTTTACAGATGCAAGCTCATCTTTATAGAGAAGATCTCAAGCAGGGAAATGGGGAAAAGACAGGCACCTTGGCCTTTTCAATTAACCAAACATGAAAGGTTCCTTTTCTCCTGAGGAAAGTTCTAAAATCCTCTAAACCAGGTTTATAAATTAACAAAAACCCACTCAGATGTGACAAATGCATGATCCTTGATTGCCTGCACCACATCATCGAATTTGATTTTTGTTGTCCGTGTCCATCCGTGATAAATGATCGGCTTCCCGTCGGGACCATCCCAGCAATCCACTACAGCAGACAACGGAAGAAAGAAGAGGGCATCTAAATAACTCCAATATACAGAACGCAACACACATTCAGCGCTCCACTGTGTTCCTACAATGAGTCATATACTTTTATGTTATATTAAAATGATTTGCTAAGTAGATTTATATCCCTCACAGAGGAGGTTAAGTTTGCATGAAGTAATGGTGATAAAAAAAATACAGTATGGAGGTTCTAAAAGCGCACACAGCTAGGAACAGAAAAGTAGGAGTTTAGGCAGCTGAATTCTGGGTTTACTAGTGTTCACCAGAGTTTAAAGTGGCAAATATGCTGCTCCAAGAGAGATTCTGAAAGTTTGTCCTGTGAAGTCTTCTTGATCCCAGTCCTGAAGTCCTTACTCAAGGATAAACTCTTGAGTATCAGAGTAAACAACTGCAGACGGGGGACTCCTGTAATTAGGACTGAGAAGCAATAGCAATAAGTGCAACAAAGAGTCAGTGGCCAGACTGAAGTGGTGAAATATCATGAGGTTCTGGCCAAACCCTTCTGTAAGATGCACAAGAGCAGAACTAAAGAAGCTCTTTTCTTGCAGTTAGTGGAAAGCAGAGCATAGTGAAATTAACTTTTATAAAAAGTTAGTTGGGCAGATACGAATTTTGTGACACCAAAACATAAAAATCTAGAGGGATTGTGGCTTTGTCTAAATTAAGAAAATATGCATGAAGGTAATTAAAACAATTAGCTGCAAACCTCTATCACAGATGTACTGGAGAAGGGCATGCTGGGGCTTAACCAATTAATTTGGTCATTCTGGTAGCTTCATCTCTGGTGTACACACTCAAATAGGTTTTAAAAGAGCTGCTTGAATTTTAGTGCTTCAAAAGAATAAAAGAAGAGCAAGCGAGCAGGAAAATGATGGAATTCTGAAGAATGTTGGTTCTAATAGTTAGCACATCATTTAAACAAAAAGAGAGGAATAATTTTGTGTTAAAAAACAACAAGTTTTGGTTTTGCTGTGCTTAGCAACCACAGGAAGCTATGCAAAGGTGGAGAACAAAAGCATTCCTGTCACAAACCACTCCACAAGCTTGTTACTCACACTCAATACATCGACATCCCATTCGAAGGCACCTGATATAAGCTTCTGTGGAAGATTCACTTCGAAGCTGGTCTCCTGTGAGGTATCTGAACAGTAAAGAGAGACCATCAGAAGGAAGGCAACAATTCCAAAAAGGGTCCCATATATTCTGTTGCTGAGTTTCTGAATGTTAAATCTTTTTCTATTGTGGAGGCTTGGAATACTTGAATTTTTGACTTTCTGTGAAGCGAGTGGACTCCTCTGAACCAGATGCTAAAGCACCTTGGCATGGATCAGTTAGCAAGAATTTCCAAGAGTTCATTCATTGCCCCTTGCCAGCTTTTTGTAGAGTAGAACATATCTCTACAATATATCCAAACTCCACCAAGTCGAGGCCAGGTCAAACAGCATACCTGTCTAGTGAAAGGGAAAGGTCCCTATACACTTCACGAGCCTTTTTTTTTTTTTAATTGTACATGTTATTTAAATTCCTTGGGATATTTTCTCCACTTTTTCTTTTTTTAAAACAACGTTAGATGATAAAATTCCCCATTCCAGTGAATGAACTTTCTAGTTTGTTTTTTTGTTGTTGCATCCAGTACTGTTTAAGTATGAAAATTAACCATCACATAGATTTGTATCTGGCCTAGCAGTTTGCATGTCACAGTTCACAGAGGACAAGTACTGAGAGCCTTACAACAATTCAGAGAATTTCTACGGTTTTGACCAAGCTTTCTCTGCCTTGTGCCGATTGGCTGTTTGCTCCAACCGTCCCCCTCTCTCCCTACCACTCCTACGCAGTCTCTTTACCTCAGTTTCACTCCACACCTGCTCCCCTTACCCTCTTCTCCCCTGACCTGTACCTCCTCACCCTGGTTTTCTTCTCTTTCCATCTAGCTGATCCCTAAGTAAACCCACCCCAAAAAATTAATATGGCACAAACATTCCTTTTGCTGCCATCAAACTGCTCACTCTACTTGTGTTATACTTCCCTTATGCTGTGTGTGTCTTGTCTGTTCAGATTGTAAGCTGTCTGGGACAGAGACCATCTAATACTCTCTACAGCACCTAACACAACAGGGCCCCATTCTTGGTCCTTAGGCACTACTGTAACAAACAATAAAGAAGGTTGTTGAATGTTGTTACTTTTAATTCCGCTCCCACATGCCTGGGTATAGAGGCACATATGGTCCCTCTCTGCTAGAATCCTTGTCTCCCATAAAAAGGGCTAGTTCCTGACCAGTGGAAACATGTTGTTCCAAGATCCACTAGCCACATGCTTTCTCTTCCCTGAGTCACCCCCTTCTGCAGTATAAACTGTCACAGAGCTGTGGTCTCGCCCAGAGTTCCCACCCCCACGAGCAGCCTGCTCTTCCCCCATCTTGCTCAGCACAACCACCACAGTTCTGCTACATTTCAGGTCACATAAAGGAGGATGACAGTTTCCTCAAGATGATCCAACCATGTTAAAGTTATATTACATATTATCTTGGTTTTAGAAGCAGTCTGGGAGCCAGGACACCAGGGTTCTATTCCAGGTCCTGTCACATGCTTCTTTTGTAACTGCAGATAACATATAAACTCAAAATATTATCATAACCTTTCTCTAGAGGTTTATAATCACAGATGCATGCCCAACAGATTAAAATGCTGTAATACAGGTGATGCTCAGAGTATCGGTATCTCTCTGTAAATACAACCCACCACAGTGAAATGACGTGGTAAATAAGGTGTGCCAGGGAGACTCTCTGACAGAGGACTTTGACCCAAATTCTGCAGCCCAGTCTCAGGCAAACATCCTGCTACATGTGGCCAGCAGGATTTGACTCTTTAGGCATTGTAATGAGGCTAACTGAACAGGGCTGTAGGTGTCAGGAGGAGTGGAGACTCCCTCATTAGCATGAAATTTTGCACCCGCAGTCATTCAATCGCCATCTTCTGGCATCAAGGAGTTTCAGGAAGCTCACTGTGGCAGTCTGAGCTCAACTTCTGGACTACATTCTTTTAACAAAGTTTCTTGTGCTCTTCTGTTGGGGGCAGGAGATGGAGGGAAGGGGTGTGTTTTCTGACACTATAACTGAGTGAATCTTATCAGATGCAATTTCTCAGGAAGCCTTCACAGATCCAGTTTGAGCACCCCTGGCATAAAACTTAAATTAATATTTGCTTCTCTTAACATACACCAGGTCTGTCTGATCAGAGACGATAAAGATTTTGGAAACTTACGTGTTGTGAGAGGAAGAAATCCAGTAGTGGGACAAAGGGTTATTCATATCCTGAGCATCTACTGCATCATATTTATCATCCCAAATACTGTTTTCTTTTGAGAAAAGGTAAGTGAGAAACTAAAACATAAAAAAAGAGAATGGATTTAAATGCATTCAATAGAAAAAAGAAAAGAATATAACACTAACAATGGAGCTTAGAGGAACTGCTCTCTTGCTAATAGAGGGGGATTTGCCCAGCAAACTAAATTTCAAAGAACTAGAAGAGAAAGTTAAATGTGTATAGAATAAGAGAAAATATTTTATCTCACCTCATCTACAAAGAGGAAGGGCTCAGTAGTTTCTCTCATAGTGTCATCTATAAACTTTGTCATTCGTTCTCGGACTTTACTGAGATCCTGTGCCCAAGATTCCTTTAAATTAAGAAAAGTTTATCATTTAAGTTGTTTTATTTTATTACCAAAAAAGGTAATAAGATTTTGTGAATGAAATTATATATTATATAATACGAAAGAGACAGACAGACACCTATAGCAGTGATTTACTAAACAGCGTTCTTAACTGCCTACAGTTAACAGAACTGCATCTTTTGATGAACCCAGCCAGTAAGAAAGACTATCAGTGGTTCAGGCTACTGTTGCATTTAAAATCAGTGTTTAAGATCATGTACCGGGTGAAACCAGAATATTTGGAGCTTTTACAAACCTCTCTAGCTGTTTGAGTTCACTGAATTTTTCTACTGTAATTTAGGCTCATGCTTTTTCCCCCAAAGGATAGTCAGGAATGTCTTTTTGTTAAATGTTTGTCCAGGCCTAGCACAATAAGCTCTGGTCAGTGACTCAGCTCGTAGGCATTACAGAAATACAAATAATAAATGATAGTTTAAAAATAAAAGATAATGTCTTTCCTAGCTAAAGAAAAGCCTATGTGATGTTTTAGGGATCTAAGATGCCCTCTGTCTAAATGCTAGGCTGCCACAGGTGAGTACTCTATATATGGATGAAATCCTGGCCCTACTGAAGACAGAAAAGATCTTCATTCTGGTCTCTCCTAACTTTTGAGTGCTTGACTTTGCAACCTTTATGCTCTTTCAACATCGTTTTGTAGGGGAAAAGATATTAGGTATTCCCATACAGGGAATGCATGGGAACAATGAACTTCTGTGTTTGATTTGAGCGTTCAAACAAATTTGCAAACCTGGAGTTCAGTAGTGGCTGTGGAACATCATAAAGCTTAAACATACAGAAGACCTCCAAACTTTTCAAAGACGTAGAATATGCACACTGTAAACAACAGGCAGCTTCAAAAATGAACTGCTTTGTTCCTTTAGTGAATCTTTTGCCTGACAATTTTTTTAATTCATTAATTATTTTATCAGTCCAACTAAACCATGCTGTCTGTGAATCAGGATCAGAGCTGTTACAGATGAAGACAAGCCCCTTCCCAGATCACTGAACACAACTGCCTGCAAGTACACAGCAACTTCTTCAAAGAGAGCACCCATCAGGAGTGAAATTCTGACCCTTTTCAAGTCAATGGCAAAACTCTCTTTGATTCCAGTGGGGACAGCACACCATCCCAAACATTTACATCGTGTCAGCCACAATGAGGCCAGAGCCAGGATTTCAGTCCAAATGTTTACAAGGTTTCACCCTCAATGGGGACAGGATATCATCCTTGACATTTACATGATGTCTGTCAATAACCACCTCAGTTTATTTAGCAGCCTAGCAAAGGCCAGAAAAATCCATTTGCACACCTTTTTGTTCTTTGTGCAGTTGAAAAACGTTAGCTCAATGAAAGATCACATCTTAATCATTAAGACCAACGCTCAGATTTAGCCCACAAGGTTCAATGCCAATTATCATCAGTCATTCTGTATGTCAGACTGTGACTCTTTGAAAAATACATAACGCTCTGAGCCTTGGTGAGGAAGAATTCAGAGTTTCATAACCTTCTCACCTGCTGCTCGTGTAGCAAAAATCTCTGGAAGTCATGCAAATGAACTGCGGAAGCATCTGGACGGTCAGTATTTCTAGACCAGAGGAAAGGGAAAAATTTTAGAAAAAATGTTTCATTAAAAAAAAAGGGGGGGGAGTAGATCAAATATCATTTAAGTCAGAGCCATAGTAGAGAACTCAATATATTATATCATGAATTTACAACGTTATCCAAAATCCACTGAAGTTGAAGGGGGTCTTTCCATTATCTTTAATGGGCTTTGGATCAGGCCCCACAAGCAACTGTCTAGCATCTGGATCAGAAGACTTTGAATCAGAGCTTCTGGGTTCCCTTCTCAGCTTTCATAATGACTCACTCTGTAACCCTGGGCAAGTTACTTAACTTCTCTCGGTTTACCCTTTTGTAAAGTGGGAACAACACTGACTTATCTCATTAGGATGTTGTGCAGCTTAATTATGGCACTATAAAAATATTATTATTGTAAATTATTTGCATAGCCATAATCCCACAAGCCATTTCTTCTGGATACTTATTGGATGAGCTGACATGGAGAACCAAAACCTGATGCCAGCAGTCCCAATAAGTTCTATAAATTCTACCCAGGAGGCTAAAGAATTGGGCCCTATATTAAAAGGCAACCATTTCTAATGGAACTTCTCAAATGTTTTAAACAAAATTGTAGATGTAATATTCAAAGTTATGATAAACTAGTTTCAGAAAAGCATAATAGCAGCAATGCTTGTCCCTTTTATGCTGCAGCATCTCATTTCTTCAACATGCTGTACAATCAGTTAATTTTCAACTCCCCTAAATAAATATTATACCCATTTTACAGACAGGGAAACTGAGATGCAATGACAGTACATCATTTGGGATTAGAATTCTGCCCTGCTACTGTCAAGTCCATGCACCACACACCTCTTCAGTTAAAAATTAAAACTTCTCCATCAGAAAACACAGAGACAACTTCTGTCCTACACTAAGCATGAGCACCTCCGACTGAAATCCATCTGTGGGCAAGGTGTTGGCTATTATCCACAGCTTCCTTATGCCACTTTTACTCTGTCCTTACTCAGGAAATCTTCCACTGAAGTCAGAATTTTAGGAAGAGTGCCTTAAAATGTGAGATGTTAAAATTTATATAAAACGGTATATGAAAAATTTTCATTCATCTTAACGAATAACAGAGCAAAAAGATATGCCACCTCTAGTCACTAATGAAAATATCATAATAGAGAACAGTGACATCACTTAAAAATATGAATGGACTTTGAGATTCCATGAAAACTTTGGGTATGCAAAGTCCTGCAGTGTTATAACTAACGCATACATGCACGAAATTATAGGAACAGGAAATCTCACCCAAGAATGAACACGGAAGAATCCTTTTTGAATTCATCAAGAATCTTAAGAGGAGGGGGGGGGAAAAGAGAGACACACAATAATCAGAAATATCTGTAACTCTTAGCAGGAACAGAAATGTCTACTTGCATTTTATACAAGCTATGGTAGCGCAATAAATTTTGAGTTAAAATGAAAGGTGAGAAACAACAGGCTGTCATGTGTCGTGATTACACTTCAGGCCTTCTCCATGTAAAAGCACACAATTCACAGCCAAACTTGGTTTTGCTAATGCACATAATAAACACAAGCAGTCAAGTTTCCTGCTAGATAGTCTGGAAAAACTGGAAACGTGTATCTTGTATCATATTTAGTCACCTGGCTACAAAATCTAAACTAAATGGCCTCCAGGTTGGACCAGCAGAGTACAGAGCTTGGGAAACTTAGCTGTAAACAGTAGTTAAGCAAGATGAGGAGTCTCCTTGAAATGGTGCACCAAAGGTGTGGACAATCAGATAACCAGTACATCAGATAACCTCACTATACTGTGCTATGCTCTCCTCTTTAAGTAACTTCTTTCTGTTTACAGTGTTTAAGTGAAGTATCATGAAAAGAGACATATCAATAAGGTTAGCAAAATAAAGTCGTCTTACTTCAAGCGTATGGTTCTTTTTAATAGCATTGTACAGATCTAGATTACAATGATTATGCTTAATCTGCAAAACTGAAAAAGAGAATTACTAATAAACCATGCCCATGTACAACTGAGGAAAGAAGGTTTCAGTTTTAACAATGTCCTACATATTTGCAGGCACAGTTAACAGGGTACAGAAACTAGCATTCAGATATTTATGTCAACATTTTCAAACTTGGGTGTTTAAAGTGAGGCACCTAAAGAAGAGCCCTGATTTTCAGAGATGCTAAACACTTACAGCTCCCATTGACTTCATGAATCTGGATGGAATGAACATTTGGAAGTAGTGATAAAATAGTTAGCCAAATAGATCCCTAGCATAATTCCATGGCATTGACACATCCCAGTGACTGTCACAAGCATGTCATGCAGTACACAGAATATATTCACGTATCATCTCCAGACACAAGTGAGAATGGCAGTGGTCATTATTTGGTGATCATGACATGTCAGCGCCATAATTAAAAGAGTATCCTTTGGCATATGGGATAAATTAAACTGGGAAGTCATGCAAAAATGAAACCTGTATTTCACTTAACATTTATTAATTGCACCTGACTAAGGATATCCTACAAACCAGACAGAAAGACTCACATGACAAACAAAATCCCATTACATGTGTGCACAATTTCACCTTTTAAACACCCAAGAAGCAACACAAACTTCTTATCTATTTATTTTATGAATCCAGTTATTGGCATTGGTTGTCACAGACACATCAAATACAATACGGTAAGTGAGGGCTTTTCTATGGTGGTGATGGTGGGGGAAGGGAGGAGAAATCAGAATTCACCTTTTATTCAAACCAGACAGGATAATAGTATCTATCTATATATGAGCTTACCGATTTCTGCTGTTCAAACATAATTTTCTTGTAGAACACGTGAAATTGTTCGAAGCTAAGTTCTTCCTTGGGAGCTCCTATTTCCTGTGAGGAGGAAGTATTAAACAGCATATTTGGAATATCCTAGGTTATATCTGTATAGCAACAAATTTGACATACCCTTTCCAGGTGCCATAGTCTTCCAAGGCACAAATGGCTGCCATACTTTTACTTTAATTGTTTTGACATGATGGCTAATTGATTTCTTAAGAGAAACATTAATATGCTAATTGAACAAACAGAATCTTAATTTGTAATACACTGTTCCTGCCCCTCATCTCTGTCCACCACCCAGGCTCAGAGTACCAGCAGGCAGTTAGCCAGTTGCTCACGAAAGACGACTGCTGGCAGATTCTCAAGAATGACTCATTCAGTGCTCATTATCCAGAGTACCAGTAACTATAATTTGGGACTTGGAGAATAGAGAGGTATAAAGCAGGAAAAATAAGGGGATCTTTAAGGTTCCTGCAGGGATGCAAAGGGGCCTCAAAAGTTATTAACAGTAGTTCATGTTGAAGAGAAACTAAAAGTATCACTTCATTCATAATGTAAATTCTACCCTTAAAACAGGCAGTGACCAGATTTTCCTATATATTTGCACAGTGCCGACAAGAGGGCTATGAGCCTGATTTTGACTTTGGACAGTACTGCAATATTAATACCAGTAATAAAGATCATTAAAAAACTCTTCTGCATGACATTCAAACCTAAACTCTGAAATTAACCAATACAAATCAGATTAATTCACATGATAAGAAGCAAAAGCCACAGGCAAGATGCTGTATGTAAGAATCAATACATATTTTCACCAAATATTGGACATCAGGTGCTTTGGATAATTACCGCAAATTTATCCTTCAAGTATTTCACGCTGCCTACTTTGAAGTTTACTAAGGGAAGTATGGTCTTCAGTTCTCTAAGGCTGATACTGAAAAACAAGAGGGCAAAAACAGCATTCTATTAGTATGCATGCAACCTACAACTATCCAGTGGTATACCATTTTCATCAACACGTAAGTTGAATTATTGATACATTTTTAAAACATTCTCTGTCCATAGATCAGTCCAAGTGCAACAGAAATCTACTGACTTCTTTAGGAGTTGGACTAAACCAGGGGTGGACAAACTACGGCCCAGCCACTTTAATTGCATCCTTGAGCTCCTACTGGGGTCTGGAGCTTGCCCCACTCCGGGACTCTAGCCGCGGAGCAGGGTTGGGGGCACTCTGCACGACTCCCAAAAGCCGCAGCATGTCCCCACTCCAGCTTCTATGCGTAGCAGCAGCCAGGGGGCTCCGCACGCTGCCCCCGCAGCTCCCATTGGCCAGGAACTGCAGCCAATGGGAGCTGCGGGGGCGGCACTTGCGGACAGGGCAGCGCACAGCAGAGCCACCTGGCCGTGCCTCTGCATAGGAGCCAGAGAGGGGAACATGCTGCTGCTCCCAGGAGCCACTTGAAGTAAGTGCTGCCCTGAGCCTGTACCCCTGAGCCACCCCCCTGTGCCCCAACCCCCTGCCCTAGCCCTGATCCTCCTCCCACCCTCCAAACCCTTCGGTCCCATCCCAGAGCACCCTCCCACAACCCAAACCCCTCATTCCCAGCCCCACCCCAGAGCCTGCACCCCCCCATGCCCCAACCCCCTGTCCCAGCCCTGATCCCCCACCCACCCTCCAAACCCCTCAGTCCCATCCCAGAGCACCCTCTTACACTCTAAACCCCTCATCCCCAGCTGCGCCCCCAGCCGGAGCCCTGCCCACTACCCCGCACCCCACTCCCCTGCCAGGAGTCCCCTCCTGCACCCTGTACTCCTCATTTCTGACCCCGCCCCGGCGCTGCACCCCAGCCAGAGCCCTCACCCCTTCCCGCACCCCAAACTCAATTTTGTGAGCATTCATGGCCTAATATACAATTTTTATACCCAGATGTGGCCCTCGGGCCAAAAAGTTTGCCCACTCCTGGACTAAACTATACTGACCTTGTTATAAAAACAGTAAATTTCCTTTTTAAAGATAAGTAGGTAGCAAATGTTGTAAAAGTTGAAGATAAAAAATTCAATGGCCCTTAAATCAGTCCCTGGTTTTGTGATAAAAAAATAGCATATCAGTTCTGGGGCCCATAAAATTCAGCCTGAACCTGTTTATGCACAGACAAATACAGACACAAATGGATAACTGGCACATCTCCAACAGTTGTCCTTCTCCATGTGCAAAACAGGTATTCTGCAATCATGCAGGAACAACACTTTTACACACATTTTTAGGAATGTGAAATCTAGAACAGCATTTGATAATGTCAGACCTCAGTTCCAACCGCTTTACATTAAGGTATTACAGTTGGTTTTTATTGGTGAAAGACTCCTCATGCAACGCTGGGGCATGCTCCTATACTCCTTACTCAAGCAGAATTTGCATGTGAATAACTCCAGGAATGGGTTCCTTTGAAGACATAGCATCATCCACACCCATTGTCCATTGTCTATAATTCACAATTGGATACACTGGAGAGGATTTAGAGAAGAGCTACAATACTCCCAAGGGAATTCTGTGCCAAAAAAATAATAATTCTACACCAAAAAACTAAAAACCCTGCAGCTCCCATCCTCCCACCCTGGGACACGGACTTGGCAGTGAGGCTGCACCCGAAGCAGACACAGCACAAGGGCCAGGTCTGCCCCAGAAATGCACCAGGGTCCTGCCCCCCCTGTGCCAGGTGCACCAAGACAATCCAGGTGCCAGAGGAACAATCCATGTGTGGGGCACACAGGCTCAGCCTAGCAAGATCGAAATGTGGAGAGGTTTAGTGTGGGGATCCAGCTGTGGGGTAATAGGGTTCTGTGTGGGGCAATCTAGGTGCAGGCGGCTCAGTGGGGAGCCTGGGTGTGTAGGGGGGGGCTCAGTGGGGGGTAATGGGACTCTGCAGGGGGGGGTCCAAGCAATGGTGGTTGGGACTAAGGGGGGCTCTGGGTGTCAGGGGCTCCGGGTGCTGGAGATGTGGGGATCCAGATGTCGCTGGTTGGGGCTCAGTGGGGTGGGGGTCCAGGTGCGGGTTGCTCGTTGGGGTGGTCCAGGTGTTGGAGGTGCAGCTCCGAGTGTAGAGGGCTCAGTGGGGGGTGGTTTGGGTGCAGGGTTGAGGGTCCTGATGCAGAGGTAAGGCTCAGCAGGGTAGGGGCTCGGGTGCAGAGGGATCAGTGGGGGAGTCCAGATGCAAGGGGGCTGAGCGAACTGTGGAGCAGCTCCCTCTGTCCAGTGACCCCTCCCACAGCAACTAAGGAGTGAATGGGGCTTCAGACCTCCCACCTCCCTCATCAACCTCAGCTTTGGTTTCAGTGTATCTTAGATACTTTTATGGCACCAATTACCACAGTATCAGAGTGCCTCACAATCTTTAATTTACATATCTCCAGAGCAGTGCTATCATCCCCATTTTACAGATGGGGAAACTAAGGCACACCACAACTAAGTAGTCACACAGGGTGTCTCTGGCAGAGCAGGGGTGGGAACCAAGGCCTCAAGTTCTAGGCCTTTGTTGTGACCCTTTAGATGACAATGCTGCTCCAAGCACTGGCCAGAAATGCTCACCAGAGATCAAAAACCCCAACAATTAACACTTATAAGAAACCCTTTTGCTCTTCAAAAAGTGTTTTACAAATATTCATCCACACAGCTGCCCTGTGAGGTGTCATCATCCCCACTTTGCAGATACGGAAAGTGAGGCAGAGCAGTTGAGAGATGTGGAAACTGAGAGATCAGTCAATAGCCAAAGAGGGAGTCAGTGTTGGAGCCAAGATTAGAACTCAGGAAGCTCCTGGCTCCCGGTCCTGCTGTCAGACCATGAGAACACGCACTTCTCCCACTGCACCCCCGGGGCTGATCACACTGCCACTCAACAGCTCTTTCTGGACAGGCAAGCAAAGGCCTAAACCTAGGGCTGACTTCATTACTGTATATGGCAGCAAAGCTTCACTGCTGGGGCCAGCCAGGAAGTATCAGCTTTATAATTAGCTGACTAAAAATTAAAAAAAAAAAAAAAAAAAAAGTTAATTGCAGCATTCATCTGTTTCCTGGAGTTTTCTGAAGGTGGGAATTCTCTCTGGGTAAAGTGGAAACACCATCACCTCACAATTCAGCACATATCAAAGGGGGATCAGTTATGTTACCTTCTGGTAGTAAAACAACTATGGAAACTAACATAACCTTAACTAGATGTAGTATCAGCTGAAGCTTCTCTGCCCTATGGCTTTCCTTTGTTTCATGGTTCTCCCCTATTGTGGTGCTTTCTTACTGAAACACAGCAGCAGCAGCAGAGCAGGAGCCAAGTGCAGTGACGTGATCTGGCATCCAGTAAAGAATGGTGCAGCTGGCACACTTTGTCCTTCCCCTCCTGACTAAGCGAGTCTGTCTCTGATATCTAAAATCTCTCTGAGCCCCTATGCTTGGGAACCCAATTCCGTTCATGCCCTTCCATCTCTCTTTGTATAGCAATCATCTTCCCAGTACCACAGATTGCTTGAAGAATGGTGTTATTTCCTGAAATAACATGTTTTCATCCACACAATGAGAACATGTTTTATTTTACTCTTAGGAAAAGGCTAAATGAGAGGAAACGAATGTTATTTTCTGCACTGAACTAGAAGTACAAACATTAATGCTGCTGGGAAAAGGGGGTAGCTAAGCTGCATTAAAGTGTCACCCACCAAGGAGTTAATTTCCTTCTCAAGGCATCGTACAACTTACAAAAATTCTAAAGAGAAATTTGCAGCTGAATTTGCAAGAGAGCATACTCTGCACTGCAACAGGCTATCCGGCACCTCAGCTAGCAGAGCAAGGATTCTCTCTCACTCTCACTCACCATAAAAGGAAATTTTGAAGACTAAAATCTACACCATTTTTTGCATGGGCCTGCAGTGAGCAGCTTCCATTTCCCACAAGAACCCAAATATGCCACCTCCATAGTTACAATATGCTGCGGCTTCCTCAACTGAGAAGCATGAATCCTGAGGTAACTCCTAAGCCTAGGTCTCCTCACCAACACATAACAGAGTAACAATCGCAAACGACCAAGCCAGTTTCACCAAGTTATATTTTCCAAAGCAAGTCCTTGCAAGTGATAACTCTACAAACTCTCTGGAACAGTGCCAGAGTCCTCAATCTAATTCTGAAAGACCACTGCTGGCTTCCTCCCACCTCTATGTTCAAGGACTATCTTGTGTTCCCATTGCCTAACCTACCCCACTCCCAAGATCTCCATGATGACCCCCCTCCATTGGTTTCTCTGTCCCTACTCACACTGTCCCCCAGGGATCTCCTTGTCCCTACCTCACCTTCCAAGAATTCCTCTGTCCTTTCACCCCATCATGCTCCCCCTCCTCAAGGCTCTGACTCACTGTGGGGAAAAATGACTGTTGTGGCTGTTGCTGTTAGTCCAACTCCCTCTGTGACCCACCTCACTCTCTTCACCCTCTCAGGCAGTGCCGGGGGCCTAGCCAAGGCAGGAGAGCAGAGTCCCAGCCTCTGGGTTCCCACTGGATTGGCAAAGGGGCAACAGCATCTACAAAGGAAGCAGCTAGGTGCTGCTGGGAGTGGGGAGCTGAAAGTGGGAGGGAGAAAGAATCCCCTCTCCCTGCCTAAAACTACATGTATCCTAGTTCCAGCCATGAAGAAAGGGCAGAAAGCAAAATGATACAGTGGTGGTCATTTCCTTCTCTGTTATACACATCAGTGAATTTCATATGCTTGATGTCTCCATAACAAAACAGAACACAAATTCCTAACGAAAGAGCAGGTACAGCGTCCTGGACTCTCACATGTTACGTACATCACATCTTTCTTATACAAAGTGATGTTTGTTACTTTAAATTCCACTCCTATACTTCATGTAGAAAAACTGACCATGAAAACTAAGCAAAACCTAAAAAGGGTGAGATTCATACCTGTTCCTTCTAGTCTGGTCAACAGAGTAGATCTGCTTTCTCAGCCAGCTTAAAAAACAAAACAAAACAGAAAAGTTATTTTAAGAATTAAAAACAAACAGAGCCTGTTCAATATCGCAATTTCAGTGATGAAAGTAAGCAGAGATATTTAAACTGGAAATCTAGCACATTCTGAAAAACGAGTCACAAGCATTTTCAGGTGCTGCATCTGCCCTGGTTCATTTTTGTGGCTTTACAATAATATTTTCCTATTTCTAAACAAAATGTTTTTGTCCCCTTGTTGTGTGTGACAAGCCCATGTAAACAAGGGTAATGACTAACCATACAAATGGGAAACAGTGAAAATAACTGGGCACAAAACAGCCAGGATCTGCAGCTGGTATAAACTGGCATAGCTTTAATGGAGCTACACTGATTGGCTCTAGCTGAGGATGTGGTCCCAAATATCATCAAATGCATGAAGTAAAAATGAAAAAGAAAATCCGCTTAATCTCTTTCAGCTGTAGTAATCTTTTACCTATCTTAGGTTAAAAAACCATAAATCAGACAGAAGTGTCAATTTTAGGACCAGCATCCCTTTAATGATATTGGCAATACTGACAGGGAAGCTCTGTTCATATAGACAGGTTTCACCCCAAAGGATAATCATAGCATTTCACTAAAAAACTCATATACTCTGTCTATACAGGAATCACTTTGTTGTTGCTGAAATGCAGCCACCTCGAGAGTGATGCACAGCAACTGTATAACAGTACAGAGCAATACCACACAAAAGTTAAAGACAGGAAGTGAGGAATACTTTTTCCCAGCTGAAATTGGATTTAGATGGGCAGGGCGTCAACACCTGAGCTGTAATTTGGACAAACAACCAATGAAGAAAGACAGGCCATGACTTTTCCCCACTGTGAACGAAAGGTGAATGGGGTGAGAAAAGATCAAGTCTGGGAGGGGGCTCAGGGCCTGTTGAGAAGAGAGGGATTCTCTGCCCATGGCTGAGTGGTGGGAAGGGGGAGAGGGTCTAGTTGTGAGATCCTGAGAAACTCTGAGTCACCTGAAATGGAGATGCCAACACACACATAGACCAGACATTCCCATGAACTTCTTAAAGACTTTCTTTGGCATCCAAACCTGGAACCAGGCGAGTTTATATAACAAACCAACCAACCAGAGAGCCAAATCCATCACAGTGTAAGTAGCCATAACTCCATAGAAGACTATTAAGTGGCATATGCTTTTACAAGACCTGAATTTGGACCACACTTTCTAAGTATAGCATGTTGTCTGTAGAGTATTGCTCTTAATGTAACTTACAGACCACACTGGTTTCATCCTTGAAAATGTCTTTTCAGTTTTTCACTATCAAATTGCAAAGAAATGTCAAGCTGTTGAAGAGTCTCTCATAAACAAAGGGGGAAAATTCCATGTACCTCTCTGTGATTGCAGGTGTGGAAGCATTCATAACCTCTTGATGCAAGATATTCAAGCCACACAGCCATTTATCAGCATCATCTTTGGAATCAGCTGCAAAGATTAATACACTGTGAGAAACATTAATACATAACAAAGACATAATCTGTGATGTTTATATAAACCCTAGTGTATAACGTGGGTTGGCTACCCATTCTCTGTGATAATCTCATTACAGAGCTTTACGCTGTCAATCCAACACATCCCAGTGAAAGAATCTATGTTAGTTTTTAAGGATTAAAAAAAAAAAAACCCGGTAGACCTATCAAAAACATCTCCTTTTAAAACTTTGTTAATCAGAACATAAGACGTTCCAAAGCTGCAGCAGAATTACTGCCAACCTACAACTCTCACTGTGACAACAGCAGAATTTTTGCTTTTTCCATCTTCTGTTCTTAAGGTGGCCAAAGTACCTGCCGTGGGCTGAATGTAGCCCAGAGCCACCCTCTCCTATAAAATTAACATGTGACCTGTGGATACTACAGATTCCAGCATGCAATGCTCTAATTCTAACCCTTAACATTTCTGAGTGGCTTGCAAAACAAATCCTTCATCCTGACTGCCATAATCACACCACTATGCACAGTCTATGCCAGACTATGGTTTGTGGGAAAGTTAACTTCTTGCATAAAAGGTGTATTTGGGAGAAGAGTCTTTAAGTTCCCTCAGACTACTGCGGCAGGATTAGAGCTCAGATACTTGATCCGTTCATCCTTAGCTTTACATTTTCAAGTCTATTTTCAGAAGGAAAATAGCTAGAAATTTTATTTTGTTCCAAAATGAGTTTGCATCTACACTTCTAGTACCAGATGCAAACCAGAAGGGCTTGCTGGTGATGATCCAACTTGATCTGAGTACCTACTAGTCAGATCAAGTTCATGCGTTGCATTCTGGGAGCTACAGACCCTGAGGGACACAAATTTGTATTATTAAAGGTGCAGGTGGGCTGCAATTTCCCTTTCATGCTGCAGATTAGGTGCAGCCTTTGGGCAGAATTTGGACAGCCCTGCATTATAGCATTCCAGTTCAGAAATTCATCAAAGCTTCCCTCCACCAAAACAGTCCTCCCGAAGAATTATTTCCTGCCAATATCTCCAACTTGAGCAATTTCTGCAATATCCTTTAAAACAAAAACAGTCTCTCAAAAGATACACATTGTTTTTAAAATTATACTTTCAAACAATGCTGTATTCTCCAAAACTGAAGCAGAGCCCAGCTTCAGATCCCTGTGGAAATCTTTTTCAATTAGTTACGTTTCTGGAAAGGACAGACACCACCCACTGCTAGTCTAACTGTCCCAAAGTTATTCTGTGTGTAAAGAAAGCTGCCATTCCCCGTTAAGTAACAGTTACCTTGTATTGTTCTCAGAAACCAAGACAAAGTGCTTTAACAAAGAAAAGGATTTTCCTGATATTGAAAATATTAGTCATGTTGTTCTAAGAATCTGTGTTATAGCAACAGACCTCCTTGTACTGATTGTTCTCAAACTACTTGCAGAGACTAGATTCTGAGAAAAAATAACAAGGGGAAAATACAGCCCAACAGTGCTCAGGGCACAATTATATTTAAAATGATGCTGCACATTCTGAAATTTCAAGGATATTCTGGGCTTAATCTAAATTCAAATCTGGTATGTAGAGCCAAATTTTCACAAGCAGCCATTAATTTTCAACACACAAAATTTGAGCATACTCCTTCACATGCAAACCCACATTTAGTACACCAATCCTCTGTGCAATTAACTGTACATTATTTTACAAGCATAAATACAGGGTTTACTTACACACATGGGAAAGTACCTCAACTAGGGAGAGCATCACTTCCACATTTAAAAAAAATCTCTATGACTGTTAGGATTATAACACTTACAACACACTGATCACTTCTCTACTCTACTAGGAACATCTTAAAAATTACTTCAGTTTTTATTACAATTTTGCAAATGAATTTAATGCTCATGAAACTGACAATGCTGATCTAGCATAGGACCAAGGGAATTCCCATAAGCAATGAAACCAGCAGTCCATATATTCCTGTAACAAAGAAGATTCAAGACCCCTTCACTAGGTAGTTATCCCCGTCTTAAAGAGAAATTTCTTCCTAATCTCATTGATTAGGAACTGTCTTATGCCCTGAAGTATAAGGGTTTATATCACATCCAAAACTCTAGTTTTTGCTCTTTTTAAAAACACCCTTTTTAATGTAATTCGATTATCTCATTTTCCATAAAAATATCCAATCCATTTTTGAATCTTTCTAAGCTTGTGTGTCCAATGATATCTTGTGACAAAGAGATTCATAGCATAATATTGTGTTGCACATAAAAAGTATTTCCTTGTATTAGTTTTTGATTCCCTGTCTTTCAATTTGATTAACATCCCTTCTCCTCATATAGACATGCACAGCCCTTACGGTGCACTTGAGCATGCAATTCACCTCCTATTCCAGTCCTTGCCCTCTCGTAGGGTCTGGTCAACACTACCGAGTTAGGTCGAGGCAAGCCATTTTAGGTTGACCTAACCATGGAAGTGTCTACACTTAAATTTCACTCCCACTGATGTAACTGCCCTGCTACGCCGACTTAATAACTCCACCTCCATTAGGAGTGTAAAGTCACAGTCGTATAGTTAGGTCAACACAACGTCAGCGTACACACTGCATTGCTTACATCGACTGTTGCTGGCTTTCACAAGCCGTCCCACACTGACAGTACAATTGATACAAGTGCTCCTGGTAAGGAAGCACACTGCTGACACAAGAAGCAAAGTGTAGACACACACAAGCAATGTAATTACTGCCACAGCCATATGCCAACGTAAGTTAGGTTGACTTAATTTTGCAGTATAAACAGGCCTAAGTAAACAGACCCTGCCAGTTGTGTGGTAGTTTTTTCTGATGTGGTCACTAAGAAGTAGGCTATGGATCCTAAATTCACTTTTATGTGTGACCCCAGGCAGGTTTCAGACTCAGGGGCGAGACTCTGGCCGCAGTAAAGCCAATGGCAAAATCTCCATTGACTTCAATAGGGCCAGGATTTCACACAGGTCTCCAGTGTTAAAAAAAAAAAAATCTCACCTGAGATATTTAACCAGAAAGGATCTACACTGCTAAACATGAGTGAATGAATAAAAGATAAGTACTTCATAAAAAAGCCTCTCTATAATGTTCCTTCTAAAGGGACATCAGGGAGCTGCAGGGTATAAAGAAATGAATCAACAGAAACACACACATAGGGATTTACTATATATTTGCTGCTTATACCTCACTTATACTTGTGCCTTGCAGTGAGTGATAGGCATTTCATCTTCCTAAAACATACAGAGCTGGTGTCAAGGAGGGTACAAGACTGCTTGCAACAATTCAAACACCTAAAATGACCCACTCATAAGCCATGAAAATGATCCTTTTAAACAGCACAAGGAAAAAAATCTCACCTAATAAATTATTTTTACATAAAAATTACAAATGCCACAATTCAAGGGCATTAAAAGCAGTAAGTGGGAAAGGGTGCTCTCTCTCACCCTCCTCAATTTTGAATGTTTGGTATGTTTTAGGAAGGCCAGGGAAAAAGAAAAACAACCTAAGCTTTGCATTACTGCTCTGTCAATGCTATAGGTCTCTCGTCTAAAAGGTTTACTATTTGAGGCTTAAAGAAGACAGACAAAAAAAATTACCTGCTAAGCTTAAGGTGTTGAGAACAAACTGGGTACCGTAAAAAATAGTGAAGCAATGCTCTTTATGCTGTGTTGCTTTCCCGCGCTCAAAATCCTTTGCATTTTTCCCAGGGCGAATTTCCTTTATTTCCCTCAGATCCACTGAAAGAAAATAACATGTGTCAGTACAAACTGTACTTACATAATTCCAGCAGAGACCAATGCAGGAAGACAAACATGTCAAAACATTTATTAATTATTATCATTGTATTGGGACTTGCTATGGTGGTGACTGCTTAAATGTGTTTCTGCCCTCAAGGCTGGGACAGAGGAGAGTGGGAGAGGAAGAAGAGGGTAGCTTTTTTGCAGAAACTTAAAATAATGCAGTGACAACATTCCTGGGACTGTTACACTCTCTCCACTGACCAAGTTATGTATAAAATCAATAGGCTTGACGGGAAGAGTTGTCCGCACACTTTTGCAAGTGTCATTTACTTTGACGCTGGAGTTCCCTTTTTGACTGGCAAACTGTTTGAGGGTACTCTAAAGGGACAACACACCACCACCACCACCAATTGATGTTACTTTATTTGCACCACGAAACCAACTCAAACCTTTTCTGGTCTGCAGAACTTGAGCAGTTTTTGTGAGGAAATCTACACTTTACACTTATGTTTTAGAACTTTCTTTGGCTAAGCCTCAATGTAACCATTAAGCTATCTATGAACCTTCCTCTGCTCAGATCCAAACAGGTCTCTGTCTTTTAATACAGCTTTTAGCACTGCTGAGTGACCTATGCCTTCCCACAGAGCACAGCTACACTTTAAAAAAATCATGAAAGGAGAACACTGTGCTGATATGTGGCCTAGAGTCAGTCCTCTGCTTATCATAGTCGGAGGCCAGGGTCTGCATAATATTTGTGAGGCAGCACTGAAATAGAATATGTGCTCTCTTACGATAAGGTATTTATTAGAAAACTGAGGAAGTGGTTTCGTTCTGCCCATAGACTGGACAGAAGTACACACGGCTCTTCCTACTTTTGACAAGTCAAGAGTTACTGCTTACAGGATGAGGACTGAACCAAAAAAAATAAATAAATAAATAAAGTTGCACAGCTGCTCTTGAAATGTGTTTATCAAACCATACAGTGTCAGAGGAAACTGACTGGGGGTTTCTGTTTGTGTGTGTTTACAATTCAGGGATACAGACAATGTATTTTAAAAGAGCATCTCCTTGCTACTAGATCACAACATATCAAATGTAGTGAAATAAAGAGGGGAAGGGCTAACCACCTGTTTCTAAAGCTCTGTGGGATGATTAATTTTTGTGTGATGTAGTTTGGTGTGCGGTGGTGGAGAGGGTTGATCAGCAAAGCCTGGATGGTAGAATAGTCATACACCTGGGAAGTTCTTATTGTGAGTGAGACTATCCCAGGCCAAACTTACTTCTCCATTTGGAGTTGTTTATCCCAGAGATGACATTACTGCTAGGAAAGGGGAAGAAAATTATTATTTTGTATTGAGGTAGCCCTTATAAGCTGCAGCCTTTGACCAGGTTCTGTAGAAACATGGAACAAAGATACAGTCCCTGCCCCAAGGAGCTTTATGTCCCCCAGATATTTATCTGCAAAATAAAGTGACCACTCCTTCTCCCAGACTCCACCCAACAACTCCCAGTAAGAATAGTGTGGAAAAAATCTCCATCCAAATTTTTCAAATGTGGCTGCATAGAGTAGGCTCCTAAATATACATTTAGGTATTGAAATATGTAGCCTGAATATCAGAAATGTTGAGCAATGAAGAGCTCCCACTGAATGTTCAGCCCCTCTGAAATTCTTACTTAGGTACCTAAAATGGATCTCAGCTTATCTTAAGGTGTCTGTGACAGGTTACCATAGTGTCACAGCATCCACATTTGAAAATGTTGGTGTTACTTCTCAAGCATGTCAAAAGGAGTTTGACAAAGACACATCAGGGTGCAGATAGCAGATTTCAATTCAAAGTAAAGCAACAGGGAAACATTTATCAGATTCCCTGTAACTTTACTTGAGTGCCTTAACCACTCAGCCACCACTCCAGACCTCCAGTCTTGAAGGTTATGGGTTTTGTCTTGATGGATCTCAAAATGAAAGGCCACCTTCAGTTCACACAACTGCAAAATGGGTACCTGATCCATGGGGTTAGGGCAGTCAAAGGCAGTCTGACATGATACTGGCCTCATCCCTCCCTTGTGTACTGTGAGCTATGAAACTGACATGCTTTAACCATGTCAGCCCAATGAGCCATTGGCTTGGGGAAACTTTGACTTCGCTAAAAGAAAAGGAGTACTTGTGGCACCTTAGAGACCAACAAATTTATTTGAGCATAAGCTTTCGTGAGCTACTCACTTTGTTAGTCTCTAAGGTGCCACAAATACTCCTTTTCTTTTTGCGAATACAGACTAACACAGCTGCTACTCTGAAATTTGACTTCACTGTAACTCTACTGAACACCATACACAAAACCCAGAGATAAACCACAAAACACCACTGTAACTCTACTGAACACCACACACAAAACCCAGAGATAAAAACTAAGATTTCCCAACCCTAATTGTTGCTTCCACTTTGAGTTACTATTTCTCCATACTGACCTCTAACATAGAAAGAGTCAAGCTTGCTTAATTTCTTCTCTCTATTGCAGGCATGCACACAGACACGCACACACCCCCACCATCTTTTCTCTGCATTATAGCCCTGATACCTCACTCTCATGCTCTCACCCTCTCTGGTGTGTGTGTGTGTGTGTTATTTTGGTTAGGGACGTGATTTTTTTTTTAATCACTATAGTTATACTGGTACAACCCCTAGCATGGACGCAGTTATACTGATACAAGGTACAGCTCATTCCCCTTTCCTTACAGGAATAAGCTATACCAGTTATAAGCACTTTTATACTAGCAGGGGTTATACAGTTTTAACTATATCGGCATAGTTAAAGTGGAATAAGTTTTGTGTGTGGATGAGAAGAGCCACACTGCACCCCAGGCTCTGCTCAGATGTGCTTTAGAATTCATTTAATTGGAGGACAAATAAGGTAGTAAACTTATTACCCAGTTAGAACAGGTAGCTGAATGGTTAGGATCAGATTTTTAAAAGATATTTAGGCATTGTTCTGCTCAGTGTTGCAATGCCTAACAGATTTAGGTGTCTAGATCTCATTTTCAAAAGGGATTTAGGCACCAAGTGAGCACAAAAACACCTAAATACCTTTAAAAAACTGGACCTATGTGACTAAGCTCAACCATGAGGGAAGGAGGTTACGAGGGAGGGAGAACAGAAAAAATGAGTGTGACATAGGTCAACTTCCCTTTCAAGAGTTCAAATTCAGTATCTTTTATGTTCCTGAAATTATTATACTTTATTTCCCTTAGAAAAAACATTCTATAGAACTTTATAGGGATGAAATCAATAGGTTGCTGTAGAAACTATCCTAAATAAACTCTAGAATAGAAAAGGATAACCATTCTATAAGGCTGTTTTTTAACCACCTTTGTTGAATTTTATATAAAGATACATAATTGTGTGTTGAATTTTATATGACTAAAACTAGGCCACCCTATAGAAGGCTATCCTTTTGTATTAAGTACTATAGGCTTCTCCATACGGCCTATATTGTGTATTGCGAGGGGGGACAACACGCTTGGAACAAGTGCTCTCTCCAGGGCACTGTCATGGTGAAAATCGTGGGCTAGACCCCCAGAGAGAGAGGGGAAGAGCCACAACAGACATGACCCTGCTGTTGTGCAGAGCTCCGCTGACTTCACAGGCATAGAGCTCACCGTAGGATCAAACTCTACAACTCCACTATCCAATCTGGCTGCCCCTGACTGAAAGAGAAAAGGGTATAGCCAGGGAAATCCATACCCTGGAGAAAGATTTTATTAAAAATGTCACAAATTCAGTCTGATAAGTTTGCTATACTGACAAGATCTTATAATCAAAGATCTATAATGCACTGGCAGTTGAACAGAATGGTCTTTTACTGGGAAATACAAACAGAAAATAACTCCTGCCCCAGCGATACTCGTAGAATGCACCAGAAATTCTATCATTTGACACTCTCTTGCTGTCTTGAAGCATTAGACCCTTTCATCTTCCCAACTGTGTGCTCAAAATATAAAGCCAAGTTCCACCCCCAGATATGCACAAGGACTCCCATTACATCAGTATGTATGTCCAAGGGTAAATTTTGACACCAATGGCCTGATCGTACTCCCACCAGATAATGGAAATCACACAGGGCCCGAAAGGTAGTACTTAGAGTTTCAACTCCCGATGAAGTGAGCTGTAGCTCACGAAAGCTTATGCTCAAATAAATTGGTTAGTCTCTAAGGTGCCATAAGTACTCCTTTTCTTTTTGCGAATACAGACTAACATGGCTGTTACTCTGAAACTCCCTGTTAGTCCATAAAAGAGTACTCAGAACAATACAACTGGCACACATCCCAAGGAAATATAGAACCATAAAACAAATCAAATAAAGCAACAGACTCAAACCCAGCAAGGTGAGAAAGAGAAAAACCTCACATTTATTCTAGTAAATCTCATGTTTGGACAGCCAGAACCCGCTAAACCGGTTTCAAAATGTCAGGCTTCTAGTTTACATTTCATCCATTCCATTATATGGCTATTTCTGTGGAGTTTAAAAGGATTTCCTTGGGAGGCTAGTCAGTCATCTTCTCGATTTTGACAACTTATTCAAGTGGACTCGTGGTATAGTGGCCTATGCATGTGCATAGTATAGTGGCCTAAGCATGTGGCTCAAATTCCAGTTCCAGTTCTGCCAATGAGATGAATGGCCTTAGGCAAGTCTTAATTTCTATGGATTGGGAAGTAGATAAATAGTATTATAACACAGATGTTGCATGGATTATATGCACCATGCCTCCAGGAGCTCCCATTGCAGCAGGGCTCAAGTTTTTTGCCCGACAACTTTTGACCCAAGAAATCTTTATTTTTCTCTATTCAAACAAGTTACCAAGATAAATACTTATTTAAATAATGCCTATTTTGAACAATCTGACTATTATTTTTAATACAGTAGTGCCTAGAGGCAAGGACTAATCAGGACTGGGACCCTTATGCATTGTGCTGTACAAACTCAGAATAAATGACAAAATTA